AGTGCTGAAGAGTAGATGTGCAGCTCTTCCTCTGCTTATTCTTCTTTAAGTCCTATCACTTCTAGGTTTCCTTTTCCCCGATCAGGTATGGGAGCAAGAGCAGGTTGCCAAATCTGCTGCTTAAATGTATATTTAAGTAGAGAATGAGAAACCAGTCTTTAATTTTCCTGAGAAGACATTCTAGGGAGTACACACACACACACACACACACATACACGCCATTTAAATATAGATATATGGGGTTTGTTTGTGTGTATTTTGTAGTGGGATATACACTACATGACACCTGTATTTAAGGTGCAAAAAGTAATTTATAATGAAATATTTGACATTCTATATGAAAATGCTCAGGTTTAACTACACTGAAGGAAATTATGAAGCTGCCAGATGCTTGCATTTATACAAAGAATGACTGTATATTAGAAAGCCCACATAAATCAAGAGATATAAGTGTGTCTTATCAGTGACTCCAGTACTATGAGCAACATTGTAGTTGGTGATATGGCTAGGTAAAATGGTGTAAAACATTTTGTAAAATTCAGAACAAAATAAATACCATCTTCCTGTGTTTTATTTTTCAGGAATTCCTGGCAAACACAAAAATACTTCGTGGTTACATGTAAAGAAACTTATCTTCTAGGTTCAGACTATAAGGCATACTGTTTTATACTGTTTTACCTATAAGAATGCAAGACAGGATATTCAAAATCTTGTTAAATATGGGACAATTTTTCATCGCATATGACTGTTTTATGAAGTTCTAGGACTTCATCCACTAAACACTATTACTAATAATCCCAATTTTTGTGACGAACACAAACAGCTGCCCAGAAATTTTCAAAATAATTTACAGGAGACATGGTGTTCTCATTGAGAACCACTGGTGAACATTGTTCAGTAAAACTTACTGAAATGATAGAAATGTTGTTCTGCATTGCCCATTTTTGTAATCTCTGGCCACAAGTGGCTGTTCTGTACTTGAAATGTGATTAGTGTGCTTATGAAATATTTTTATTTCATTTAAATGCAATTAATTTCTATTTAAATTTAAACAGCCATATGTTTCTACTAGCTATAGTATTAGCTCAGCCGTAAGAATCTACTTATCCCTATGCACCTTTTCATCCATATATATCTACATGTAACCTGGGAAGGTTGTCAAGTGGTGTTTGACATTTCCTTGTTATTTAAGGCCTCAGAAGTATCTAAACTCAAGCTTGGCGTCTATCTTTGGGTCAAGGACTTCTACTGTGTAGTCTAGGGAAACTGGAATGTGTTAATCATACTTAAGTCAAAGTCTATGTGTGATATGGGCCTGGAGTTTTCCTTCTTGGGACATGTTTATAAGCTCTACCATTTAATAACTATAGCCTTTCTGTTAACTAGATCAAGATTTTATTTTTCTCAATTTTATAACCTGTAACATTATTTGCATTTTTATTTACTTTTGAAAAATTGATTTCCTACTGACTTTTTCCTGATTCATGGATTATTTTGTAATGTTACCTAATATCTAAATATTTGGGGATTTTTAAAGATATATTTTTTGTTAATAATTTCTATTTTAACTTCGTTGTGGTCAGAGAATATACTTATATTATTTCAACCTTATATAAGCATGATACAATAATCAAAACCAGGAAGATAATATTGATATGTTACTACCAGTGAATACTTGGCCCCACTTCCCAATTGTCTCAATAACATATTCACAGAAGGATGATTCAGTTCAGAAATAATACTACATTTTTGTTGCTTCACTGGTGAATTTCAAAAAATATAGAGGAAAGAACTACTATAAGTCTTACACAAATTCTTTCAAAGAAATAGAGAAAGGATACTCCACTCATTTTATTAAACTAGCAAAATCCTGATAACTAAACCAGACAGGGATATTACTAGAAGAAAAATTATACACTCATATCTCTCATGAATGTATCAGTTGAAGGAAACAGTTGGTACATTTATGAGAAGTGATTATTTGCAGATAAAAACAGTTGTCTCCCTGAATAAACTTTCAGAAGATCTTCATAGAGGCTGCTCTGCCTATGGAGTAGCCATTCTTTTATTCCTTTGTTTTCTTAAAAACAACAACAACAACAACAACAACAACAAAAAACACTAGCTTTCACAATAAAAGAAAATATTCATAGAAATTTGAGTAGTTAGATAAAAAGTAATCTGTATATGGGCAAGGACCAGAAGACGGTTCAAAAACAACCAGTTGTGTAAGAGTGCTCACCTAGGTGGTTGCTTTCTTTCTTGGAATTGTACGTATGTCATTTACGAACAATAATATACTCGGTTGAATGAAATATTTAAATTTGAAGTAAAATTTATATAACATAAAATAAAGAAAAAAATTATGTATGATAACTTCAATATCTGAATAAGTGGGACTATTTCTCTTTTTTAAGGCCTATTCTGTGACAGTAAGAAAACCTATAAAACTCTACAGGATTAGAGTTTTTAATTGACCTAAATTAATTTTAATATACAAAAGTGACCGAAAATCTACATAATCTGCTAAAGGTATCTTAGTTAAATTAGAATAGTGTGTCCAAGAAAGCATGATTAAAATCAATTAGAAAGAAAATATTTTTTAAATCTATTGTAGTTTATCTTTTCTCACTGATATACCAATTACCCACCTCTACATTTGGCTCTCCTAATTATTGCCTTTGCTACTTGGAATTTGAATGCGGAAACTTCATTGATCACACTGCTTTTCTCTTTTTAAAATTTTAAATTTTTCTACCTGTTTCTATTTTCTGGATGGTCTTTAAATTGCCCTGAACCTCTATTCTTTCTATATACTGACTCCCACTGGGAGAATATCTACTTATATCCTGTGGAGCAACTTAAAGCAAAGTTCTTAGAATAACAGCACAGAAAGAAACCTTGCAAAAATAATCCAGTGCCATCTCTACCTGCCTTCACACACACATATGTGTGTGTGTGTGTGTGTGTGTGTGTGTGTGTGTGTGTGTGTGATTTGCCGTGGCAGTACATGGTTTTCCCATGCATTGTTATGCTATTGCAAAAAAGAGATCTTTAATCTCCATGTGTGTTGATGAATTAAACATAGTCTGTGCTTACTTTCAAGATGTTATTTAGAGTCTGGAATGACAATTCTCTGTTTTATTTTTCTAGTTTTAAATTAAAATATAATATTTTAGTTTTTGAACATCACTCATATCTTGCAATTGAATAAACTTTGGATTGAGAAAATGATAGTACTAAGAAAGATTACTTAGTCATTTCCAAGAAGTGAATATTTATGTAATATTACTCGTAAGTATTGTTCATACTATGAATCAAAGCAACAATGAGTCATTATTAAGAAGCAATTACAGATTTCTGGGTTTTTTTCTTAATTATATTTTAAAGCATGTCACCAGTCGTGATTTCAAAACTAATACGAAATATTTTAGTCTACTTTCCGGTTTATTCGTCTTTGTGGGTTGGTGCTGCAGAGTCAAGGATCAGATCAAATAGCATGTCAAGTTTACAAAATGGTAAACAGAATAACTCAAAAAGATTTGTCAGAGCTTTCAAATACATATTTAACAATTATTAACTAAGTATCATCTATATTAGTAGCAGTATTGGACTTACTGATGTGATTCTTCTTTTGTCTCATTCTGGGTGCACTTGCTGTATGCACATCATAAAATACTTCAGTGTCTCTCATTCTATGTAACTCATGCCAAAATGCCAAAGTTAATGTTTTTCTAACGTATATGTTTATCTTATAATTGGCTAAGAAACGTTGATATCAGGAAACCAAGACAGTTAACTTATATCTATAACCTTCGACATCATAAATGTAGAAAACATTTATACTCTAAAGAAAATTGTCCCAGGAACAATTTCTCTCTCAATGTAGACAATGTTCAGCTTTGAGTATGTAAAATAAAAGTAGGCACTTGACATTTGCTGATTTATCAGTTTAACTGAAAAAAAAAGTCTTATTATATAAGAATGGTATATTGTTTATATCAGTTATAATCACTTATAAGTGATAATCAATATACTTACAAATGGAACTAATACATCTATTGTCTTGTTTTTAATTGACTTTCATAAAAATCATTCTGTTAATCTAACTATAATTAGCTTAATTTTATATTTATTGGCTATAATTCATAGCTAGTCAGAAACAAATTAGAAACAGTTAAAGCAACTCATCTCAGAAGTCATCAGTCTACGTTACATTGTAAAACCTTCCATAAACCGTATGACCTACTTTTATTTAAGATATCTAATTGATGGCTAGCAAAGGAATTGCATTTTCAAGTATTGTGTAGATCTAGAAACATAGTTTTGTATACTAAAATTAAATCTGTGTTATTAAATATGTATGCCATATAATAAAATTTTTGCTTGAGGAAAAACAAACTCTGTAAGTGTCGTGTGTTTTATTAAGTGTATTTTTAATTGCAAGGGGTAAAAATAGTATTCTAAAATTTGATAGACATTGTTTTGCAAAATGCTTCACATTTTTCACTGAAGTTTGGTAGCTTGAGGGCTCTGTCAGATTGAAAAATGCCAAGATCTGGAGACTGAGACTGAGTAGATATTCAGTCTGGCAGACTTGTGTGTGTATTTAAAGAATAAGTACACCTTGCCTGGTCAATCACAGCGTTGCGATTATGAGTGAGAAGTACCCTGTCATATAGGAAACATGGATGAAGTTTGAAAAAGATAACTGAGCATGAATGACTAAAAACATGCCATAATAACAGAAACTTTCAGTCTACAAGGTCATTTTTCTGCATTATCTAATGTGCTTTATCTCTATATAATTATCTGTGACTGATCTGCAAAATGTAAAGATTGTTTTTATAATGGCTACATTTTCACATTTCATAATAAAATATGTTTTATGATTGAAATGGTAAGATGTAAGTAGTTATTAAGATTTCTTTAAAAATAAGATTTATTTAAAACAATGTCTAATCATATCTTTGACCATTCTTCTTGTTGGTATTTTGCAGTGAGGCCCACAGTAATTGAAACTGATGTTTATGTAAACAGCATTGGACCAGTTGATCCAATTAATATGGTGAGTAAGAAATATTAAAAATAATTATCTGCCATTGAGATCTCTCAAGTGTATACCTCCAAAATAGAATTTGTATATGAGTAATTTTTTATACTTAATTCTGAATGAATTCAGATCAACATGTACAATTACTTTGTGCCAGGTATTGGTAACTGGAGCTAAACTACACCTGTATCTAAGAATCTGTGTCTTGTTATTCCAATGTGCTGTGTTTGGTAGAACTATGCAAGGGCATAACAGATTATCATCTGATCCACCAAGAAGAGGTCCCTGAAGAAATCTGGAAAGAAAAAAATCAGAAAGCCTGAGGGGAAAGTAGTCAATCAGAGAGAGAAAACAAAGGACTTACTGGCAGAGAAAGCAGCATGCATAAAGTCACAGAGGAATGAAACAGCCTCATAAGATCAGGGGAACTTCCAGCAATTTGATGTTACTGGAATACAAAGTGCAAAGTAAGAAATTGAGGCAACAGGGATATTGAAGGACAGTCTTGTAAGCCATCGTAATAGGAAGCTTGTAAATTGTATTATGTATAAATTATATCCCTTGGGATAAGAGAAATGACAGGAAATATTTTACCAGGGGAGTGTCAAAGGCAGATTTACATTGCTTAATACATTTCTCTTATAGTAATATAGAAGATGGAGGTAAGAGTCCAAGTTAGGGTTACAGAGACCCATTACAGTTTATTGTATTAGTCCGGACAAGAGATCTTCAAGGGCTTACTTACTGCAGTTGCAATCAAGCTGGAGATGACAATAATACATTAAAAAAATAGGTAATTTTTTGAGAATTTGGTGACTTATTATGTGTAACCTGGCTCCAAGGTGTAGAAACGAAGATACTTTGAAGATGGTAGAGTTATTATCCCACGTAGGAATACAGTGTAGGCTTATGTGCCCCAAATCCTCATGGTGCATTCGGGAGGAACTGTCCAGCAGCATTTTGCCTTATAGATCTGCTATCAGGGAAGATGTTAGCACAAAATATAGATGTAGATGAGAAAGAGAAAGAAGACAAGAAGAGTATAATAAAGCTTAAGACATCAAGAATGTGTGAGATGATCTAAGAGAAGATTCAGATTAAGACGATCGCAGATCTGAGGACCAGATGGTGTAATGAGATGAATGTATATGAAATATAGTTGCCAGAAAGAGAAGCACAGAAAGGGGACATATTCAGAAAAGTCAGAAGGGTAGGAGCAAAAATGAGAGAAGATGGTATTACAAAATCTGAGAGAGTAAAGACGATAAAGAAGGAGGGAATCATAATGAATTACAAATGCACATGAGAATACAATAAAATGGATTAGATTGTGATAACTGGCATTGGCAAGTAGGTGGTGTTAATTATCTTTGTTAGGAGAAATTCAGTTGGAATGGCGAAGGCAGGAAAGGGATAACTGGATTGTACATCCCTCCTTGATCTTCAAAAGTGGCCTCATGTCCAAACTTTTTGCCATGGAGCCCTGAGAATATATATGGTTCTTTCAGGGATAGTCATATAGTCAAGTGCTGATTTCTGGGAGCTAGGGAGTGAGTGGGAATGTAGATTTAATTTTATAAACTACTATTTTGAGAAACATGGCTTAGAAGATGAGATAAGAGTATGGGGGTAGAGAAGGTAGAGGAGAGAAGAAGAGAAATAAGGAAGGGAGAGAGAATATGAGAAAATATCAAGACAGAACAATTTAGAATAAAAATTGAGAATGTGTAATATTCATTCTTTATGTTATATACATAGAATAAATAGTATTTTATTACTAATGAAGAACAAAATTAACAATGCCAATATAAGCAACAGGCATTATTTTAAAAAAGACTTTACAATGTTCAGTTCCAAACGCTAATGATCCCATTTCTGTGAGTCAGACTGCTGAGTTCCGTTGAATGCATTCAATAACGTCTTGTACTCCTCTCCTTCGCTTTTGCCTTTGGTATTAGTTGCCTAGGGTTGCCACAAAAAAGTAGCACAGACTGGTGGCTTAAACAACAACAATCTATTTCTTGCAGATATTGAGGCCAGAGGTCCAAGATCAAAGCCTTGGCTGGTTTGGTTTCTTCTTAGGTCTATCTCATTGGCTTGCAGACAGCTGCTTTCTCACCATGTCCTCACATGGTCTTTTCTCTGTGTCTGTGCATCCCTGGTGTCTCTTTGTGTATCTAACTTTTCTCTTCTTATCACGAGTCATATTGTATTAGGGCCCACCCTAAAAGCCGCATGTTGACTTTAAAGGCCCTGCCTTTAAATGTAGTCACATTCTGAAGTTCTTGGGATTAAGTCTTCAACATATGAATTTAGGGGGTAACACCATTCAGCCCGTAAGACATCTAAAGATAGTTCTCAAGTATTTTGCTGATTTTCTTCTTCATTTTAGCTATTCAATATTACAACAGTTAAGTCTTCTCTTTATTACAGGTTTTATTGCTTTACAGCTGGGGAACCTTTCTGGTATGCCTAACGGTTACCTATGTCTGCTCACTCCTCTGGTGTGACAGTCACTCAGTTTTTCTCTTACTTGATGCAATCTTCACATGACTCTCATTAACTTTTACAGCTGTCTGCACTGATTATTGTAGTGACAACATTTTAGCCATGCCATAAGTGACATCTTTGTCACCTTAGTACAAGCAAATATGAACTGGCTGTGGATAAAATTGAATTTGAGAGGATAAAGTAATGTTCCAAAAGATTGACCTAGAAGTTAATCTTAAATTAGGGGCTAACATTCAGGGAAAAGTCGAGGCTGGGGCCAAATCTTTGTCAGGAATTTGCCAAACCTCTGTGAGATGGGGAAAACAGCCTTAAAGTGAAAAGAGAAGAACAAAGAAACAAATAGCAGACCTTAGGGAACGCATGTATTTAAGGACCTGAAAGACAAAGCTGAGATAGTAAATGAAACATCAAGGTTGACAAGAAAGTGACAAAACAATGCTGTGGAAACTAAGGGAAGAGGCAGTTTCAACAAATCTTTTTAGTATTAGTTCTACCCAAAACAAAGTAGTATATAATCAATTGATTTTTACAAACAGAAAACTTTTAATATATATGTGTAATATGTTGCATTTTTTTAACAATATGCAAATATCAGATTTCATAAAGTAATACATTGCTAAAATGTTATTTTTTTTTGGTGGAATATTGTAATGTTTAGTTTCTAAGTAACCAACGCCTAGAGAAAATAAGACTGAGCATATGGGAAAATCTGCATTTTCCTGAATTGTATATTTTTTGTTTGGGGATTATGTTTTCAATTTGCATGAATACATTAAATAAAAACATGGTCATTAAAGTAAAGAGAAACACGATTCAAGGATATATTAGTATTCTAGAAACACTTTGACAAGAATGACTATCAACAGGCTTCTACAATGATCTTCCTATATAAAAGATTAATGTATTAATGATTTAGTTTCCCCAGTGGAGCAAATTACACACTTACACCCTTCAACAGTGATCATTTAAAAAAAACTTAATTAAATAAAATTACTATTGAAACTAGTGATACTAAAACAGGTGAAAATAAATAAATAAAAGAACCCCACGGAACACTTGATAATGTTTATTAAAAAGAAAAGCATTGTAATACTAGGGATGAATAAGAAATAGGTTATGCAGAAGATTATTTTAACTAAACAATGCAGGGAAATTAGAATTCACTTTTCATAAAATGAGCAAAATTGTTTTGAATGTGAGTGTAATCGAGGAAGCAGATTTAAGCATAATTAAGAAAGCAAGAGGGTGTCACTGCCTTAAGTACTCATGTAATTTAATTTACTAGTAAGAAACAAAATTAATATATTAGTTTAATTTTTTAAGTTAGCCAAAATTTGTTTTGCTGCAAAATGGGTGTTTCTTTTTAAACTTAGATACATAAAATAGCATTTCCATAGATTTCTGAATAATGCTTAAAATGACATTATTCTACAATGGAATATGCTTTTCTTTTTACAGTCAAAATGAGTAACAGATGCACTAATGAAGACGGGGAAAATAGAGTAACTTGGAAAGAAGCTGTTCAATTTTATATATGGTTTGATTAAAACTATCTTCAATATAAGCAGAACAAAAATATGCAATCAGAATTGAAGTGAAGAATATGTTACTAGAGATTATTAGATAAAATAGTTATAACCTCGTAACTTTTCAGATTTGGGGGAGATTATGTATCTTTACTCTTCTGAGTAAATATCTCACGATGTTGGCTGCCCTCTGACTAGCAAGTACAACACTCAAGGGCCATAGCAATTCTTTAAAGCCAAATCAAAATCAGTAAGAGCTCCAGGAAATTCAAGATGATATTATGGGTATCTAACAGGAGGCTACAGCATAAGATTAGTAAGTACAAAAGTAGCTACAACTAAAAATTCCAGGTATAATTTGGACATGAATTTAATTGTAGGAACTGGTATACCCTTATATAATCCAATATTAAGAGATGACTAATATGGATACTTTGAAAGTAAGGGACAAGGAACAACTAATAAAAACTACTTAGATCCCAGTTCTCACCTGCAGAAGTTAATTTAAATATTTTCTAACTGCAAGAGTGATATGTCACACAGTCCTAGAATATACTTCTGAAACTGGATAGAATCTTCCTGCTGGGAATTGAAACAGGACAGGATCTTCCTGCTGGAAATTCTGATTTGTCTTAGTAATGGAGACAGGGCTGAGGAACAAGGGCACCAGCTACGAAGACGACAATTTAAAAAGGAGCTGGGAAGTCACCTGGGCTGTGCTTCAAAATAACTGCCTGCTGGAGAGGACTACAAGAGGGTGAGCAGTAGGCAAAGAGGATCAGGCAAACTTAGCAAATGACAGAATGCTTTCTTTCTGGCCTGCGCAGAAATATGTAACAGGAATGTCCATTTTCAGAATTTTTTTTAACAGAAAACAAAAATCTAATTGCTCTCTACACAAGGAAAAAATATCTTTTTAAACAAAAATGTATGTAGAGCTACAGAAATCACAATTATTATTTATTATAGAATGTAAATAAGGGATTTTTCTCAGTAATAATCATTTTTCATTCACTTAAGTGAAATGGTCAAGTATCCAACCTTAATGTTAAATTGACCTTAGAATCTCTAAAAATTATCAAAATAATTTTATTTCTTAATTCAAATACAATTATATATATATTTCATTGTTTTATTTGTCTGTCGTATATTTATTTACCATTTATTATAGTGACAATTGGTTCATTGTTAAAAAAGATATCGGAAAAGATATGTCATCCTTTCTTCAGAAGAGCATAAAACCTAGCAGGGAAGATGACTAAAAATGCAAATTAGACCAAGACAGAAGGGAAAAGGCAGGAAAAATGCTGTGTACGAATCTATACATATTTTAAATTGTAAATGGTGATCCTAATGCTATTTTCTTCTAAAAATGTTTTCCATAAAAAGAGTTTTTTATTATAAAAGTAATACATACTCAATCTGGGAAAATTAGAAATTTAACTTAGATAAAAGAAAAAATTTAAAATATACTGAAATATTATATCTAGTGGTCACCATTGTTATGATCGTAACTGTTTTACCCAATGCTTTTTTAACCTCACTATTTTATAATATTATGTTTTTCTATGTGTTATACTGTGTCATTACTTTTAAAAAATTAATTAAATGTTGCATATTATTTAGTAATGAATTATTTTACATGTGGAATATTTCCAATTTGCTGTAATTGAGTAATATTATTATTAAATATTTTAGCCACCATTATTATTTCTTCAGGCTATGTGTATACATACCCTAGACCTCTCATAGATTTTGGTCAAATATTGAAAGTGAAAATTTTGAATTTTTAGAAAACAAATTCAAAAATTGTTTGAATTTTTTGACACTTCAAGATAGATACCTCAAGGTAGACAGTCTTGAATTGGTTACTATTTTTTTTAGTTTTTTATGGGTTAGCAATCATAGAGTGTTGTAGAATGTACTGCTTGGTAATTCTGTCCTCAGGGTAGGTTTGTGGCCAATGTTCTGACAAAATGAATGTCTAGTTTGCTTCAGCTCATGACTATCATAAATGTACTTAAAACTTGGTTTTTGGCCTTTAACCGGCTGCTCCAAGTCACTATTCCAAATCTCACATGTTATAGCTGATTCAAACATACTCTTATGATTCCTAATTTTTTACACCTTTATTTACACATTTATTAATCAGAGAAGAGTGACTTTGCTAATAATATAAAAACACACATAACAATATAAAAACATATATATCTAAGAAAAAGTACATACATATCTAAGAAAAAGTAATTTAGCATACACACACACACACACACACATATATTAATATGACCTAAGGCACATTTAGGCAGTTCATATTTTTTCATGTTAGGAGATTACATTGTAAAATTGTGTAGAGCTACATATATTAGTTGCACGTTGAATTTTGAAAATGCTGGCTGGGCACAGTGGCTCACGCCTGTATTCCTAGCACTTCAGGAGGCCGAAGCAGGAGGATCACTTGCGCTCAGGAGTTCAAAACCAGCCTGGGCAACAGAGTGAGCTCTTGCCTCTAATTTTTTAAAATAAAATTTTAAGTAAAATTTTAAAATAAAATGTTAAAAATAAAATTAGAAATTAAAATTAATAAAAAGAATTGTGAGAATGCTTATCAGAGAATTCTAGTCAACCAGGTTTGGAGGTTACTAGTCCAAGCCATTTTCACCTATAAATTTAGTAGGGATTAGGCAGGATTAAAGGAAGGTACCAATGGTACTTACAGACTGAAAGTATTTTTATGAGGAAAAGTCATTGAAAGAAACCATGTTCACCTCAGACTTTACCCCTCTTATAGGTAGGACTTTTTAAAAAATACATTAATCTAATATTTTATAATGTTTTCATGATCATAGAGTCTTAGAGCTGGGAAAGATAGTAATTACGATCTTGCCTTGTGCCCACATTTTGCCAGTAAGAGTGTATAAGTGACTTGGTCAGCACCCTACTCTAGTAAATCTCAGAATTATGACAAAATTTTCCCATTCCATCCAGTCAGTGTTCTTTGTACTACACATTACTCTTACTATTATGCATACTTTGGATATATTTAGTATTTGTTATATTGATTATCTGGAAATTATTTAAAATTATGTATGTAATTAAAAGACAATACCTTATCCCTTATTCAATGTGCTATTTTTACATCTAGAACAGCAAAGGCTTAAAATAATGTAGTAAAGGTTTTCGTCTTAGATTGACAATGAATTTGAACTAACACCAGCTGCTCTTCAGTTTAATTAGAAAGTGCAGTAGAGAAAACTTATGTAAATGTCTTGACCTTTGACATTTTGTTATAATAAAAATTGTAACAAATTACCATAATTGAAATTGTTAAAACTCTATGATAAGCCTTGGATTTCCTGGCAGAGGTACCTAGCTTTGTGATAGGCGCAATAGGATTCAAACTCCTGAGGTAAACAGAAGAAGCAAGTGCAAATAATGCCCCACTAGCACGATACAATGTTGGAAAGTTCTTCATTTTCTGCAGCTGGGCTATGGACAACAGTAAGCATTTTATAAACTGGTAATAATATAAATAATTTAAAACATGAGTCATGTGGACTATTTCTGAATATATCATTTCCAAATATAGTGTTCTCTCTTGCTCAGATAGACAAGCTAATTCAGACATCAATAAAACATTTGTAGTACAGGGCAGTCACAGATGTAGAAACACTTTTCCCACTCAGCTCATCCAGCAATTAATCTAGCTATTTAGCATTGAACCAATCTATAACAAATGTTGCATATGTGGATAGAAAGCATGTTTGCCTACTGGCGATGAAGCTTTTCTAGGAAGCAGAACCTTCATCTGAATATCAATCATTTATCACAGAGAACTTCTTACCATGCTGTTAGCTGGTAATAAACTGTAATGGGGAAGTATAGTTTGAGTGTGTTTATACACCAGTCCCTCCTTATCTGTGGTTTTGCTTTCTGTGGTTTCAGTTATCCATAGTCAACAATGATCCAAAAATAGGTGAGTACAGTACAATAAGTTATTTTGAGAAGAAGGTAGAGATCACATTCATAGAACCTTCATTACAGTATTTTATTAAAATTATATTGTATCATTCATTGTTGTCAATCTCTTACTGTGCCTAATTTATCAGTTGAACATTATCATAGGTACGTATGTATAGGAAAAACATAGAGTATATAAGCTTCCCAACTATTCAGGGTTTCAGGTATTCAATGGGAATCTTAGAATGCATACTCATGAATAAAGGGGATCTCTTGTATATTTGTTATCATACTATGTTTCATACTTAGGAAGCGTGGTCCATGCGGGTTAGACTTATTCAATCATTTATTCATCCAAATACCCCACAGTGATAACATAGATACAAATGCCATGAAAGTAAAAAGCAAGATGAAAGAAAGGTAAGTATGAAATAAGTGACCAAAACTACTAATTGTCAACATATAAATTTCATCTCTGTGGTTTAAAAATTTTTGCCTCATATGGATGACCTGAGTTATGGTAAAGAAGTTAATATTGTGGAGTACATGATCAGAATCTCTTACACTTTGTATGATGTTGAAAAAGCTTCCTTCTATCTCAATTACAATCAGGGAAAAGCAGGAAAAGAAATGAGAAGATAGAGCTTGGCAGTATAGAATAGTCACTGGGCAAAAACAATTTGATGGAATCTGGAAAACATTAGCTTTCTCTGCTTAAATGAAAGGCTATCAAATATATATTTTAATTAAATTTAATAAAGGTTTATGAAAACATGTCTAATTTATCAAAAATATTAGGCTCAGTTATTTACATGTTTTTGGATAATTATTTTTAAAATTATGTTATGGCATATGACAACTCAGCATAAACTAACTTCATGAAATACTTTACTCTGTTGCCAGATTGCTAGATTTTAAATAAAAATTATATTTTCATAAATATATCTAAAATCTGTCAAATATTAGTATTTTTACTAAGAACTGCTCCATTTCAAATCAGTATTGAGTCTCAGCGGAGGCAAAGGGAGTTTAAAATAGGTTTAATACCTAATGTAAATGACGAGTTAACGGGTGCAGCACACCAAGATGGCACGTGTATAACAAAACTGCACGTTGTGCATATGTAGCCTAGAACTTAAAGTATAATAAAAAAAAACAGTAAAGATGCACTTAAATGTCAGAAAATAAAAAAATAAAAACCAGGTAAACACATATCTCATTTAATTAAGAAGTTCATTGCACATGCGAAGCTAGCATCACAATGGATTTTTTGTCCTTATTTTCTTGAAACATCACTCAATACTCATGTTTTCAGTGTAGATCACTTCTTTCCAGATTTCATGGTCATTCAGGTCAAGTTCAATGTGCAGAGAAATAAATAGAGACAATAACCTGTACGTAATGGATTTTTAATATATTACATCCACTCAATTGAGAAATGATGAAGCAAACTTCACTGACAGACCAACAGATGGGACAAAATGACAAGAACACAGATTTTCATAGAGAACATGAGATGGAGGAATATGTTCCTTCTTGCCGCAGTATAAATTGTCCCTTGTCTGGAAAAGAAACACATGGGTAATTTTTGAAAAGTGCTCTGAATCCATGGGTGTCTATTCCTACTGTTAATAACTCTGTGATGGTTAATTTTACATGTCAACTCGGTCAGGCTATGGTCCCCAAATACAGTTATGTATCACTTAATGACAGAGATACATTATAAGAAATGCATCTTTAGTCAATTTCATCATTGTAGAAACATCATGGAATGTACTTACACAAACCTACATGGTATAGCCTACTACATACCTAGGCTGTATAATATAGCTTAATGTTTCTAGGACACAAACCTGTTAAGAATATTATTGAACTGAATGTTGTAGATAATTGTAACACAATAAGCATTTGCATATCTAAACATACCTAAACACAGAAAAATACAGTAAAAATATGGTACAAAAGATAAAAATGGTATACCTGTATAAGGGACTTATTACTGAAGGCTTGCAGTCAGGGAAGTTGCTCTGGGTGAGTCAGTGAGTGAGTGAGTGGTGAGTGAATGTGAAGGCCTGGACATTACTGTGCACTATTATAGACCTTATAAACACCGTGCACTTAGAATACACTAAATTAATTTTTAAAATTTCTTTCTTCAAAACAAATTATTATTTGGTTACTGATTTTTTTTTATCAATTTGTTATAAATTTTACATTTTCATAATAACAACTTAAAAATATTTTACAGCTGTACAAAGTATTTTCGTGTCATTATTTTGTAAGCTTTTCTTTTTCCTTTTTCCTTTTTTTTTTAAAGCTTTTTCAACATTTTGTTAAAAACTAAAAAACCTACACATTAGCCTACATAGTCAGAATCATTATCATTACTGCCTTCCACCTCCACATCTTGTCCCACAAGAAGATCTTCAGGGACAATAACATGCATAAAGCTGTCATCTGATCTGATAACAATGCGTCATCTGGAAGACCTACTGAAGGACTTGCCTGAGGCTGTTTCACAGTTAGCGTATATAATGGTACATATACAAATTGTATACAAATACATGAAATGCATAAATATATAATATACATTACAATATATTTATATATAATATTATATATAACATATAATATGGGTGTGTATTTTGGTTTATGTATTTATTATGCTATACTCTGTCATTTTACAGTTAACATATATACATGTTATGTGTATATATAATACAGTTAACATATATATTTGTTTTGGGTGTGTGTGTATAAAGTAGAAAAAGTATAATCTGAAATAATGATAGAAATTATTGTACGGTAAACATGTAAACCAGTAGTAAGTTAGTTATTACCAAAATATTATAATATTATAATATTACCAAATATGTACTGTGCATAATTGTATGTATTATACTTTCAAACAACTGGCAGCACAATAGGTTTGTTTACATCAGCATCACCAGAAAGATGTAAACAATCTGTTGTTCTAGGATGTTAGGATGGCCACAACATCACTAGGTGGTAGGATTTTTTCAACTGCATTGTAATTTTATGGGACCAACGTTGTACATGTGGCCCATCATTGACTGAAAACATCATGTAGTGCATGACTGTATTTGGCTAAATTGCAGTCGAGATGTTGCTGTGAAGGTATTATTTAGATGTGATTCACATTTAAATCAGTAGATTTTGAGTAAAGCAGATTACCCTCTATAATGTAGTTGGGCCTCAACCAATCAGATGAACACTAAAAAGATTGACTGAGGTCCCTCTAGGAAGAAGAGACTCAGGCTCCAGCCTGCCTTTGGCTTGAAGACTGAAACGTAAACTCTTCCCTGACTCCCTACCTACTAGTCTTCCCTGCACATTTTGCACTTTCCAGCACCTACATATTATATGATTCGACTCTCTTTTCCCTTTCTCTCTCTCTCATCTATCTATCTATCCTGCTATCAGTCAGCATCTATACGTCTACCCATTTATCCTGTTGGCTGTGTTTTTGTGGAGTACCTTTACTAATACAAGCTCACAAGAATAGCTTTCTCCCACCCCAGAATTCAGGTATGCATGTACTATATCTATTCCAAGTTCTGGAAGCTGACCTTGTCCTCTCTATTTTATTGTAACTTCTTAAGAACCGGGAGTTCATTCATAGGGTTTATAAATCCCTACGGATTGTGTTATTTCATCTTCTATTCTATAGAGTTTAACTGTTCTGTGAATATAATGTTTGATATTTTACTCTTTGAACTTGTAAACAGAATATTATATAATATATATTCTGGAAATATAGTTATGTATTTCCAGAAAGAAATGTTGATTGAGCACGATGCAGAAAATTAACACATGAAGTACTAGGATTTTCAGTTCATTATTCTCAGTGCAGTGTTCAGAGCTGTTTCTAGGTTGCAGGGTCAATCATTGGAAATTGGTAATTTTAGATAATAGTTGCCAAAAAGCTCTTCCAGATGTAGGATAGCCTGTATATTTGAGGAATGCACATTCCCTGACATAAAGAAAATGTGCTACTTTTTCATTATATATGACTTGCATTCTTTATTTTCCATTCTGCCCTGCACTTTACTGCCTCTTTGCCCTCTCCCTTCCCTCCACCATTTACTAGTTGATGCATAAATCAAAATATTTCCAAATCTTACAGGTTTCAGGTTAAATGCAGTTTCTGTCATGAAGTCTTTCTTAATTTCCCCTAACTAAAAAAATCTCTACTATTTCTATTTCTCTTTATACCCCTTTTACGTTTTATTACTTTCCAATTTTATTATGTATATGTTCATACCAAGAAGGCTTCATTTTCATCTTTGTGAATCCAGTACATTATAAAAGTAACAAGAACATTGAAAAAATATTTGCTAAAAATTAATTGATGAATGCACATGATATTATGTGCCTTTGGAAGTCTACATTCATAGACATAAAAAGAGAGCACAAAGGGTTAGTAGGTAAATCTAGAACATGTGTCTGATTTTTGAATCACCCTCATGTATTGCTGATGATTTCAATGATTTAAGCAATTGGCATAACCTCTTTGCTCCCTATTTCTTTTTTATATTTCAAACTTAGAATAACACCAAATTTTTTATTTACCTTATCCTGCTAGAATTCAGAAGCTGGTGCTTTTACAATAATTAAGCAAACTGGAGCTGATATTTGTAAAATTTTACCACTAAAGGTATTTCTTTGTCCTGTGGATTAGCTGTACTTGTACTTTTTCTCCACATGTCCATAGCTCCATTACTGCTAAAAATTATTAGGTCTACCGTTCTGTTTTGGCCATGTGACTAGACAGTTTTGGAAGAGATTAATGCCAATATAGGAAGAACAAATCAGGATCCATCAAATTTTGTGATGAAATTATGTAACTAGGTTAATTGCTTTGGCAGGTCTTGAATTTTGTGTGAAGTTTCTCCCATTACTAGAAATACAGTAATACTGAATTTACTAGTAATTTGAAATGTGAGATATAGTGCTTAATTGCAAACTGACAATGTAGTAATGAGACTGCACTACACCCTTATCAATTATGATTTGATTTTATTAAGTTAGGAATCAAAATGGCTCACTTCACATTTATTCATTAATGCTGTTTTGTCAGCTAACTTGCAAGGAGATACAGTACATTTTGTAAAATGCATTGGATGTCAAATTTTAAATGCACTGTTTCTTATCTCAAAATGTTTATCTTAGAAGCTGTTGTATTTGTTGTTCTGAGTAAATAGAAGTTCCATTTTATGTTTTGCTTTTGCTTATTTCTTGTGTAGATATTATAACCTGTGAACAGGAACATGAAGTACGAGAGTAGTTTGGTCGTTTTCTGGAAATTATACTAATACAAATGGGCAAACAAAACTGGATTTTTTTATTATGTGTAACATGGCATAGATTTTAATGGTCTTCTTATTTCAGTGAGGCATTTATTAACAATTAGCAATTTAAAAGGACTTATAAGTATTAGCTTCTGCAAAGGGCTTTGGATGGATGGATTATCAAGACATATTCTCTGAGTCTTTCTCTTCTTGATATTGGATTGAGGGAACAACTGTGAGTAGAAAACTTTTTCCATTTCTGATCGTTTGGAAATCATAAGCCTTCCAACAGTGATTAACACTTCCAGAATCAGGGATTTTAAAAAGGTCCTGCAGCTGCTAAGCAGTATTGACAGCTGCTTTGGAAATCCCAGCCTTAGACAAATTGGTTCTCAAGTGCCACCTTTAAGGTCCTGTGAATTAGGAATACTGCAGCTAAGTACAACTGCCAGGTAGCATTACATTCCCTCTACCAACTAGTGTTGAATATTTGCCTAGCCGCAATCCTTACTAGTATCTTGAGTAGTTTCTGCTGTTTGATCCCACATAAAAGTACAACATAATTCTGGTGAATAAAGTTGACTAAATGCTCTTTCCAGGGCATTTAGTTCACCATAGAAGGATTATGAGACTTCTGTCTATTTGTATTTGCCATTAAAATTAGACACCATGTCATTAGCGTAGGTTACATGGTTAGACTGAATAATTAGTCATTTGTGGCAGGTGAAGAGGCTGCTTGGATAAATTATAACTGATTCCAAAGACAAGACATCTGACCTGAGATACAGGCAGGTAGAGTGGGGATCAATGATAACTTCAGTGAAGGTGTTCAATAATTTTTCACAAGGTTTAAAGAATAAAGGATACACCAGTGATAATGTGTATAAGGTTCTCTAGGACTTCCTAAATGCTTGCGTAATTTACGCATTACCCCGTTAATATTACTCAATAAGATGATTAAACATCTATAGCATAAATATGAATTATTATGTATTATGGGATGTGGTTTGCCTTATGACTCAGCCTGACCTACAAACACAGTATATAAGCAAGGTTGTGGCTATCAGATTTATAAGGCTTACATGGTTGCAAAAGTACTTTCAGTCTATATTCCACAGCACAGTTTGATCCGTGCCATCCCATATTAAGTTGAAAAAAATAAAATTTTATTTATCTCCCTAAGTTACTCTAGCACGGCAATCAAAATTATGTAAAGAGAGGGTGATGATGCAAGCATTTTTGTGCACAAAACTTCGTATTTTAAATCCATTAAAAACAACAACTGACATAATATAGATGTTAAATAAATAGGTAGATTATTGAATGATCACACATTACTTCATTATATAAATAAATTATTCAGAATTATAAGTGTATATACTTTAAGCACTTTATAAAACATACATTTCATACTCAATTACATAGTTTCTGGTCCCTATTGTATTTTAAATAATTATTATATATAGGCTTTTCCAGAATTGTAACATTGTTCATCCAACATAGATAAAATGAGGTACCCTCTCAATTTATTTTTTTATTCTAGTTAAGCAAATTGTAATTTTTTTTTTTTTTTTTTTTTTTTTTTTGACTGAGTTTTGTCCAGTGGTGCAGTGCCGATCTAGCTATCAAGCTCCGCTCCGGTTACGCCATTCCCTGCCCCTCCGAGTGCTACCAGGCCCCCCCTCCCCAGTTTTGTATTTTTAGTAACGGTTCACCGTTAGCCAGGTCTCATCTCCTACTGGATCCCCTCAGCCCCAAATGCTGGATTAAGCTTGCCACGTCCGCTTTGTAATTTAAGTAGTCTGCCTGGAACCTAGGAATTGATCCAACTTCCCTATAAATAAGTTGAATCTACTTTGTTTACTTATTAATCTCTCATAATTTGTTTCCATTTTTCATTTATTCACCATATCCTCAATTATACTTCTATTTCTTATATTAAATATTTTCCTTCAGGAAAATTGGCCAGTTGCTAATATGACATCAAGTGCAAATAATCAATCTCTCTCACCAGAAGTAACTTATATAATACCTCATATTTTTCAATTTACTTATTCTTTTAAATATCAAAAGTATATCCATATACATGCAAACATACATACACGCACATATATACACACACACATACACACACACATATAGTTCATATAATTGTGTATATATTATATATGTATATATATTTTATATATGTATATATATATCTTATATATATGTATATTTACTTCCTTTCCCCCATGGCATTGATTACTGCTGCATTCTTGTTCATTTTATTTATTTTAAATGCCTATAATATGGCAGACTTTTTGTCAGTATACGAAGGTAGATAACATCCGATTATCTACTCTTGAAGGTTCTCTGTTAAAAATGAAATTTCCTAATTACAGTTACTATGGACAAAGGTTTTGCTCCAACCTTGGAACGCATCAGACATCACTATAACCACCATTATATGCATTTGTTATGGGTGTGGACTTGGGATGTAGCCTGCAGTGGCTCAGTTTCCATATCAACTGCTTATTAGTTCTGTGATGTGAGAATTATTATTTTATATTTCTATTAATACATGTTACTGAAAGATAATGGTTATATTTCACATAGTTGCAATAAGGATTTAGTGACATGACACATGCAAAGCTCTTAAATATGTTTGGCATCTTATAATAGCTCAGTAAATTAGTTTGTGGTTGCTTTAAAACATTTAAAACTAGTAAATATAAATAATTGGAATTAACTTTTTAGACAAAAAACAATGTAAAGCCTCTTAAATAATTTGGTTGGGTTTTGCATCTAGATTTTCTTTTGTTTATGATTTTTGTGATTTAAGCTCTGTATAAATTAATATAATTATTAACATTAAGATAATTTGATTTTAAGTTTAATAAGTACATCCTACATACTACAAAATCTTGAGTAAAATTCACACAAAAAAATTAAAAAGAATAAAGTAACACTGGGCAACAATAACTACTGGAAATCTTGGATTTTATTTTACACGATTCATGCGAACAAAAAGAAAGTTTAGCCCATGTGCGGTGGCTCACGCCTGTAATCCCAGCACTTTGGGAGGCGGGAGGATCACGATGTCAGGAGATCAAGACCATCCTGGCTAACACGGTGAAACCCCGTCTCTACTAAAAATACAAAAATTAGCTGGGCATGGTGGAGGGCGCCTGTTGTCCCAAGCTACTCCGTAGACTGAGGCAGGAGAATGGCGTGAACCCGGGAGGCGGAGCCTGCAGTGAGCCGTGATCATGCTACTGCACTCCAGCCTGGGCGACAGAGCCAGACTTCCTCTCGGAAAAAAAAAAAAAAGTTTAAAATAATGGCATTTTTTTTTTCCTCCAAAAAGACTGAGTTTAACTGTTACTTGCAGAAACTTTACAATATAAAAATTCAAACTTCTGAGAAAAACAACTAAAATAGTAGCTTTATTAATATGTTGTTACTCTTCTTACATTTTAGGAATACACAATAGATATAATTTTTGCCCAAACCTGGTTTGACAGTCGTTTAAAATTCAATAGTACCATGAAAGTGCTTATGCTTAACAGTAATATGGTTGGAAAAATTTGGATTCCTGACACTTTCTTCAGAAACTCAAGAAAATCTGATGCTCACTGGATAACAACTCCTAATCGTCTGCTTCGAATTTGGAATGATGGTCGAGTTCTATATACTTTAAGGTAATATTTGTTTAAAAATCTGTAGTTGCTCTCATTTATTTTCCATACTAATATTTAATCAACTCTAAATTTTTTATTTCTCAAAGTTGCAAAGTCAAAAGTATGGAGCTCCTTTCACATGCTGAAATATAATGTGAAATATTTTGGCAATACTTTTTTAAGCTCAGTTATTATTATGTGAAAAGGACTAAAAGCAAATAGAAAAAATTCTTTGATTTTCTTCCTTTGAAGCAGAAGAGGTTGCAGCATAAATATTATTGTTTTCTTAACCTGCCATGTAAATAATTGAGTAAGATTTCCTCTAAAACCCACTCTGCTATAAAATTTTATAATACTCTAATTTTCAACGATATAGTAAAACATCCCTAAGAAAGGATTAAATGAAGGTTGATGTATAAGGTTCAAGTTTATTTAGCTCATTGCCTTGAACATATCTGCTTATTAAGAACCGTTCTTCATGGAAATATATTCATAATAAATTAAGAGAAAAATTATCATACTTAACCATTTATAATCTGCTAATCTGCTGTGTTTGCACATGTGTGTTAGTTGATATATTGAAGTATGAATTATTACGTGTAAACGCAGAGATCATATTGAAATGTATACAGAGGTAACTTAGTTGAATGAAGAGGAAATTGTTAGAATTCTCATACTCATATATAAACGTAATATCGCTATTTAAGACTTTGAGACTTTAGAATCATTAATATATTCTAATACATCACAAACTATTATCATAAGACACATTCTTGTTTTAAAATTAGACAGGGAATTTTTAATGCTTCAAATTATTTATCTTTATTTAATACTTTTTTTTCCATCTAAATAGATTGACAATTAATGCAGAATGTTATCTTCAGCTTCATAACTTTCCTATGGATGAACATTCCTGTCCACTGGAATTTTCAAGCTGTAAGTAACAAAACACTTGATAATTTCATAGAATTTTAACCTTAGAAGCTGTTTATTTAAAAATGAAATGAAAGAAAATAAAATATGATTTTCAAAAGTGTACATTATGTTCAATTCTTTTAGATAAAATAATTACAAATAATATATTTGCTTCTTGTTTTTAAACTAAAAGATTACAATAAATGTGTAGTGAATGCATATGTTTCATTAAAACATTCTTTATAACATTTAGTTTTATTCCAATGCTATTTGCTTATTTTTATTAAATAAAGGAGTATTGAAAATAGGTTTTTATTCAAATGTTTTTACATAGCCACCAAAAAAAAAAGGTGATTCAAATTATATTCATCTTCCTGGAGGCAAGATTTAACTTTAATATATTAGATTTTGAAATGTGTTTCAAAAATTCATTGGGCAAATAGTATTTACTATATGAATAGCAAATATTTGAGACTACTTTAAGAATTCAGAAAAAAAAAGGTAGAAATAAGTTGACTTAATTAAAAAAGATTGATTCGTAGAGAAGTGGTTAGAGGTGAATAATTAGAGTATAAAAACCTGGCATTTTCTTTCTTTTTTTTTTTTTATTATTATACTTTAAGTTCTAGGGTACATGTGCACAACATGCAGGTTTGTTACATATGTATATTTGTGCCATGTTGGTGTGCTGCACCCATCAATTCGTCAGCACCCATCAATTTGTCATTTACATCAGGTATAACTCCCAATGCCATCCCTCTCCCCTCCACCCTCCCCATAATAGACCCCTGTGTATGATGTTCCCCTTCACGAGTCCAAGTAATCTCATTGTTCAATTCCCACCTATGAGTGAGAACATGTGGTGTTTGGTTTTCTGTTCTTGCGATAGTTTGCTGAGAATGATGGTTTCCAGCTGCATCCATGTCCCTACAAAGGACACAAACTCATCCCTTTTTATGGCTGCATAGTATTCCATGGTGTATATGTGCCACATTTTCTTAATCCAGTCTGCCAGTGATGGACATTTGGGTTGATTCCAAGTCTTTGCTATTGTGAAAGTGTGGCAATAAACATATGTGTTCATGTGTCTTTATAGCAGCAGGATTTATAATCCTTTGGGTATATACCCAGTAATGGCTTGCCTGGGTCATATGGTATTTCTAGTTCTAGATCCTTGAGGAATCGCCATACTATTTTCCACAATGGTTGAACTAGTTTACAATCCCACCAACAGTGTAAAAGTATTCCTATTTCTCCACATCCTCTCCAGCACCTGTTGTTTTCTGACTTTTCAATGATTGCCATTCTAACTGGTGTGAGATGGTATCTCATTGTGGTTTTGATTTGCATTTCTCTGATGGCCAGTGATGACTAGCATATTTCCACGTGTCTGTTGGCTGTATGCATGTGATCTTTTGAGAAATGTCTGTTCATATCCTTTGCCCACTTTTTGATGGGGTTGTTTGTTTTTTCTTGTAAATTTGTTTGAGTTCTTTGTAGGTTCTGGATATTAACCCTTTGTCAGATGAGTAGATTGCAAAAATTTTCTCCCATTCTGTAGGTTGCCTGTTTACTCTGATGGTAGTTTCTTTTGCTGTGCAGAAGCTCTTTAGTTTAATTAGATCCCATTTGTCAATTTTGGCTTTTGTTGCCATTGCTTTTGGTGTTTTAGACATGAAGTCCTATGTCCTGAATGGTATTACCTAGATTTTCTTCTAGGGTTTTTATGGTATTAGGTCTGACACTTAAGTCTCTAATTCATCTTGAATTAATTTTCGTATAAGGAGTAAGGAAAGGATCCAGTTTCAGCTTTCTACTCATGGCTAGCCAATTTTCCCAGCACCATTTATTAAATAGGGAATCCTTTCCCCATTTCTTGTTTTTCTCAGGTTTATCAAAGATCAGATGACTGTAGATGTGTGGTATTATTTCTGAGGACTCTGTTCTGTTCCGTTGGTCTATATCTCTGTTTTGGTGCCAGTACCATGCTGTTTTGGCTACTGTAGCCTTGTAGTATAGTTTGATGTCAGGTAGCGTGATGCCTCCAGCCTTGTTCTTTTGACTTAGGATTGTCTTGGCAATGTGGGCTCTTTATTGGTTCTGTATGAACGTTAAAGCAGTTTTTCCAATTTTGTGAAGAAAGTCATTGGTAGCTTGATGGGCATGGCATTGAATCTATAAATTACCTTGGGCAGTATGGCCATTTGCACGATATTGATTCTTCCTATCCATGAGCATGATATGTTCTTCCATTTGTTTGTATCCTCTTTTATTTCACTGAGCAGTGGTTTGTAGTTCTCCTTGAAGAGGTCCTTTACATCCCTTGTAAGTTGGATTCCTAGGTATTTTATTCTCTGAAGCAATTGTGAATGGAAGTTCATTCCTGATATGGCTCTCTGTTTTTCTGTTACTAGTGTATAAGAATGCTTGTGATTTTTGCACATTAATTTTGTATCCTGAGACTTTGCTGAAGTTGCTTATCAGCTTAAGGAGATTTGGGGCTGAGACAATGGGGTTTTCTAAGTATACAATCATGTCATCTGCAAATAGGGACAATTTGACTTCTTCTTTTCCTAACTGAATACCCTTAATTTCTTTCTCTTGCCTGATTGCCCCAGCCAGAACTTCCAACATTATGTTGAGTAGGTGTGGTGAGAGAGGGCATCCCTGTCTTGTGCCAGTTTTCAAAGGGAATGCTTCCAGTTTTTGCCCATTCAGTATGATATTGGCTGTGGGTTTGTCATAAATAGCTCTTATTATTTTGAGATACGTTCCATCAATACCGATTTTATTGAGCGTTTTTAGCATGAAGGGCTGTTGAATTTTGTCAAAGGCCTTTTCTGCGTCTATTGAGATAATCATGTGGTTTTTGTCTTTGGTTCTGTTTATGTGCTGGATTATGTTTACCGATTTGTGAATGTTGAACCAGCCTTGCATCTCAGGGATGAAGCCCACTTGATCATGGTGGATAAGTTTTTGATGTGCTGCTGGATTCGGTCTGCCAGTATTTTATTAAGGGTTTTTGTATCAATGTTCATCAGTGATATTGGTCTAAAATTCTCTTTTTTTGTTGTGTCTCTGCCAGGCTTTGGTATCAGGATGATGTTGGCCTCATAAAATGAATTAGGGAGGATTTCCTCTTTTTCTATTGATTGGAATAGTTTCAGAAGGAATGGTACCAACTCCTCCTTGTACCTCTGGTAGAATTCAGCTGTGAATCCGTCTGGTCCTGGATTTTTTTTTTTTTTTTTTTTGGTTGGTAGGCTATTAATTATTGCCTCAACTTCAGAACCCGCTATTGGTCTATTCAGGGATTCAACTTCTTCCTGGTTTAGTCTTTGGAGAGTGTAAGTGCCAGGAAATTATCCATTTCTTCTAGGAAAAACCTGGCATTTTCTTTAAAGGAAATTATTATAACCTTTCCATAGCTATACTAATTTTATTTTACATTTGTTAACATATGTATCATCACAGATATTTTTATAACAGTGTTTTTCTAGATACACACAATTTTCTTAAAAAATACAATGGCTTATAAAAACGTGGTTGCCTTTACCCACAAATTGTCTAATGCCAAACTTTTTCTTTTGAAAGTTGTTGTTTTAACAGATGGCATTCTAGAATGTGGTAGAGTGTAATATGACAATTCATTCATAAGTATAATTCTACTTCTTCACTTACTAAATTTCCACATATTTTTTGCCTTTTATTAACGATGTTCTTGAATTTTCTTAATGATATATTCTCATTAAAGCATTCTTTTATATTAATGATCTATCTCACTGCTTTGATTTTTAAATAGTAACTTTGTAATGAATTAAACAGCCAAATAGCAACAAATACTTGATTGATAGAATTCAAGGAACTCAAGGAAAAGTTCATTGTAAATAATTGATATAGCAGTTGTTGTACTTCATTCTAGAAGCCATTCTTAAATTTTGGTGTGACAGCTCTCCGGTTTTGATTGTTGTTAATGGTAATTAATCATTTATCTTTGTGAGTTTAATTGGGTGTCAATAACAAACATATAATAATCGTAGCTTTTTTTTTTCAGGCACTCTACATGGGTCCAGTAGAGAATTAAGCTCTCTGTATCTAATATTTCACGACAAATATGTGTGGGAGATTTCATTATAGTCCCAATTTTAAAAATTAATATCATGAGATTCAGAGTGACAATTTAGCCAACATGTTTATTTGTGCCCACACTACTATATACTATGCCTATACTCTATTGACTCTAAAACTTTTTAAAAGTAAAGATAGAAACTATGGAAATCAAAATGGCTTCAACTGTAGAGAGCAAGTGAAAGAAGATGGAGAAAAGGAAAGATTTAAATAGATCAGCAGAGATGATAACTGTTTCATTGCATGACTAATAGAAATCCTGGTGCAAAATACATGTTCTTTGGGAAATATTGGATATACTATTTTTGAAATTTCAAGTTAGTGAATTCTCTTTCTGTAATGTGCTACCAATCTATCTGTTGAAAGCAAAAATTTTATACCATTAAAATATTCTAAAACACGCAGGTGACCACACATAGAAAGAACTTTTTAGCTACAAACATCTACATGAAAACTATATAACGGAAAGGTAAATTTGCAGCCGATTTTGACCTGAGGACATTGACAAAACGTGGTTGATTTCCTTCAAGTTCTGCTTTGATGGGATTGTAAGATGGCATAACATAATCTCCACATAAAGTTGGGATACAAAAGCCTGACCAGTTGAGAGCACATGAAGAATTACCTGCTACACACACACACACACACACACACACACACACACACACACACACAAAAAAAAAAAACAAAAACAAAAAAAAAAACACCAAAAGCTAAAAGGGAGGTTGCCTCCCTCTGAAATCAGCATACAGGGTGAAATGATTCTTCTTGAGAGAATCTGATTACATGTCTACCCTCAAATAGATTTTTAGCCCAAATTTCTTTCACTTGGTTGCTTCAAAAAGTCCTCAAATATATTCCTGACACAAGGCAGAAACAAAAATATTTTTTAGAAAGATGAAAGGATATACTTCCGTTCTAGACAACTGCAAAGTATACAAAAACATTTTCAACACAAATAACTAACAAAGGACTGGTATCTAGAATACATAAATCATTAATATAAAAATAGAGGAAAATTAAGAGAAAGTAAAAAAATAAATACTGGGCAATTGAATAAGCAGTTCCTCAAAGAAGCAATCCAAGAGTCTAATAGGCATACTTTTTTTTTTTTTTTTTTTGAGACGTATTCTCGCTCTGTCGCCCAGGCTGGAGTGCAGTGGAGGGAGCTCCACTCACTGCAAGCTCCGCCTCTCGGGTTCACGCCATTCTCCTGACTCAGCCTCCTGATAAGCACACTTTTTAAATGCTAGGTTTTATTATTAATCGGGAGAATGTGAAATAAAATACACTTCATGGACGAGTAAAATTGAAGAAGACTGCATATATCAAAATTAATGAGAATATGCATTCATGTGAACTTTCACACTCTGGCTGATAAGAGAATATGTTAGTGGCCAGGCATGTTGGCTCACGCCTATAATCTCAGCACTCTGGGAGACCGACGGGAGCGGATCACCTGAGGTCAGGGGTTTGAGAATAGCCTGGCCAACATGGTAAAGCCCTGTCTCTACTAGAAATACAAAAAAAAAAAAAAAAAAAAAAAAAAAAAAAAGAAAAAAAAAAAGGTAGCCATGCGTGTTGGTGAGCACCTGTAGTCTCAGCTACTCGGGAGGCTGAGGCATGAGAATTGCTTGAACCTGGGCGGCAGACATTGGCAGTGAGCCAAGATCACGCACTGCACTCCTGCCTGGACAATAGAGTGAGACACCGTCTCAAAAAAAAAAAAAAAAAAAAAAGAGAGAGAGAGAGAGAGAATATGTTAGTATACTCTCCACGGACAAAAGATTGGCACTACCTCATAAAGTTGATATTATGTGTAATCCATGACCTAACTACTCCATACCTAGATGTATATCCTAGAGTAACCCTTGCATATACACGTTTGGGGAGGCATGTATAATAATATTACTAGTAGCAATGTTGGTTATAGCCAACAGAAAATATCACAAATGTCTAAAACAGTATAATGGATAAATTTTGGTGTGTTTTTACAATGGAAGAAATTTAGCTACATACAACATTGATGACTATCACGATATATTAAAAAAGACATTCTTAGACAAGGTAGCATGAGGAAAAAGAAGAAAAAATAATATGCAAAAGAATGCCTTAGGTATGGCAATGATCAAATAAAATTCAAAGTAACCCAAACTATCCTATACTTTTCAGAGATGCATAAGAAAAATCTACATTAAAAAGAAACAATCATTGCAGAAATCAGGATGGTTATTACCTCTAGATTGTAGAGGGAGTACTATTTTGGGGTGGACATATGGAGTTTTCTATATGTTAGCAAGTTTCTATTTCTTAATTTAAGTAGATTACATGGGTTATCATTATTTGATCCATGTATGATTAGTCATTAAACTCTGCTTATTAATATTTATTGTATTCAAATGTTCTATGTTTGGCATATCTTATAATAAAAAAAGGAGGAAAAAGTTCCAAGAATTTACCTTTGGATAATGTTGGTATTGTAATGGTATCAAATTTGGATCTTGCTAATCTATGTATTTTTTTTTCTATAGATGGATACCCTAAAAATGAAATTGAGTATAAGTGGAAAAAGCCCTCCGTAGAAGTGGCTGACCCTAAATATTGGAGATTATATCAGTTTGCATTTGTAGGGTTGAGAAATTCAACTGAAATCTCTCACACAATCTCTGGTAAAGATAATACTCAAATAGTGAATGATGCTACTATTAAATGACATTTTTTATTTTAAATATATGGATTGGGATTTATATTATATGGCCAAAATAAAACATTTTTTTTTCTTCCAGGGGATTATGTTATTATGACAATTTTTTTTGACCTGAGCAGAAGAATGGGATATTTCACTATTCAGACCTACATTCCATGCATTCTGACAGTTGTTCTTTCTTGGGTGTCTTTTTGGATCAATAAAGATGCAGTGCCTGCAAGAACATCACTGGGTATGACACATAATATTATGCTATAATATCATAGAACTTTAAAAAATCATTTTGATGTAATAAAAATTTATAGTCACATTTATTAAATATATTCTTCTAGAATACAGTCAGGAAAAAAATTGACAGAAACTAAAGGACAAAACCATGTTGAAAGAGATATGTAAAAAAAGAAAAGTAGAAAATGGAATTGTAAAGAACTTGAAATTTCAGAAAATTCCTTCTTTTTTCTGCTAATGAAGACCAAAGGAAGCATAGATACATAGCAAGAATTAATACATTAAAATCATACATAATTCCTAAATCTTATTTTGGTTGAGTTTTTCTATCACTTTTCATCAAGATTTTATTTCATGTTATAGCTGAGTCACTAATAACCATTGTTTTATTTGCTGGGGTATGTGGATGGCTTTAAAATAACCTGTTTTATGACATTGCTAATGAAGTCAGTTGTTCCAAAGGGCAAGCAGCTGAAAGGAACAAGAAGCTCCCTGGCTTCTATGGCTTCTGTCGTGTATAAAGTGTGTACTTATTCTGTGAATGCTTGAGAGTTGCCTGTACAATAACATTGATTAACAGGGTAATTGTGATTAATACTTGACAAATAGACTTTCACTCTTTTTCTGTAGCAATCTATTGTAATAATGAAATCATATAACAAAATAAGTGACTAATTATGATATAGTTATTTAAAAGAAAATGATAACCTGCAATCAGGTATTGATGCATGAAGAAAACTTATTAATCAATTGACTCACCCGCCAAATCAGTGAAAGACACATGAATCGCACTGCTCATAATTGTGTCTTAAAAATATGTAAAGAAAGGTGAGACGGTTTCTGTTTTTAACCACAAAGAAGATTTTATGTGGTTTCTATGATAGCTCATAAATGATTCCATCTAATAAATACAGTAAAATGCAGGTCACATAAAAGTGGCAACAACAATGCTTGAGGCACATGGGTCTATTCTTGAAAATGAAGTTCTCTTGGGCATCTAAACAGGGGTATTGAAATAGCTAGTGGACAAAATCCATTCATACCTTAATTTTGTTTCCTTTCATTGTTTACAATTATTTTATATTCTAAGTCATATAAATTATTTTAGGTTCTTTGTATGCTACTATAAGTATAACTTAAACAGAGTATTTTTGTTTCTATTTCCATATTTTTCTGGGAATGTAAATTAGTATAATCACTATGCATAACAGTTTGGAAGTTTCTCAAAGAGAATTTGAATGGATTATTTATACCACTGGGTTTGTATAAAACTATAAGCTAGAGTGTCATGAAGAGAAGAGCCAACTGTGAAGTCATTTTTGCATAAATTTATTTTTATTCAATATTAGCACATCAATTGTAAAGATAACCACAGCCAGATGCAACTTAACAAATATCTTTTGTAATTGTGGACCCTCAGATAGAGAATTACAATTGCTTTAAATATAAATACACACACATATCACTGAAGGACAATTTCCTGAACTCAATGAACTCAACCTTGCATTTTACTAAAATATATCAAATGCTTTCTGTAAAACAAGCAATGTTTTTGGTGCTGCAGTGTTAACAGTGAAAAAAACTTTAAAAAGTTCATGTTTATGGTGTTTACATTTTAGTAGAGAAAACAGGTAATGTTCAAATATAAAAGTCATACAATAAAATTTTAGTGAGTCATGAAGGCTGTGAAGAGATAGCAAAATCAATGTTTAGAAAATGACAGGGTGTGAGTGATGTGATATTTGCTATGTTATATCGTGGAGTCTTGCAAGATACCTCCGATGATGTGGCATTTGAGCAGTGACCCAAAGAAGTGTGGTGCTCGCCTGGTGGATATTGGGCAGAAAGATATTCCAGGCAGTGGGAACTGTATGGTTTTGAAGCCAGATCTTCCTGCTATGCCATGCTTTGGGGTTCAGAAAGATGACAAATATGGTTGGAGCTGAATGAATAGTCACAGAAAATGAATTTGGAGAAGTGGCCAATAGTTTGATCATGTAAATTTTTGTCGGCCATTTTAAGGACTTTAAATTTTATTTCAAATGTGATGGGAGATTATTGTAGTATCTTGAGTAGGGGAAGCCATGGAGAAAATAACAATGATATCCAAAATGTTTTCTCAATATCCTGCTAATATCCTAAATGTTTTTTATTCTAATGGACTCAGAAATATTTTCATAGAAAATCCACCATGTTCTTCTCAAGGTAATGGCAGTGATAATAATTACTAAATTAAATAAATGTCTGAAAGCAAAGTTCTGGTTAGTTTTGTTTGCCTTATTAAAAAAGAATGTAACAGAAACTTAATAAAGTAAAATTTATTGCAGTCATGGATAATAACATGAAACCAGCTTAGGATTTAAGACTTTTTAGATAGAAGACATAATTGTGGAGGCAAGAAACACTTTGGAAACCTCTTTGGGCTGACGATGGTAACAATGTGATTTAATAAGCTTGTGTGGGAGATGAGGGAAAGGAAGAATTGTATATGTTATTTTTTAAGCCTTTTCCATAACAAAGCCTTTAAAATATATATTTAGTTTCAAAATAATTGAAGTAAAAGCTGTAAGGAATAGTGGGAAAAATTAGCAAATCTGCAATCATTAGTGTTTTCTCATTCATTGTCAGAATTACAAGAAAAAGTTAATTAGGATATAGAAACTTTGAAATTATCATAAATACATTACCTGATTGATATTTATAGGTTACTACACCTAACTTCAGAGCACACAATATTTTCAAGTGCATATGGATCATTAAACAAGATATTACTAAAATTCAAAACACTAAAATTTTCAGAGTATATTTTCTAACAAAAAAGGAAGTAAATTAAAAATTAATAAAAATAATATAACTGATAATGGCTTTGTATATTTGGAAATTTAAAAAATAGACAAATAATTAAATTAAGTATCTTTTGTGTATATTTACTACAAGTACAAAGCAAGATATTACTGTGTGTGTTTGTTTGTTTTTTTAATGAGAGGCACAAAGGAGTTGAAAAACTGTTATCAGAGAGCTAATAGGTAGAAGAGTCAGAGATTAAACCTAAATTTGTCTCATAATTCCAAATTCATCACAACTGTATCGACTTTAATATTTTCTCCAATCCTAAGAAATTATAAAAGTGAAACGACAGGCTTGTGAGTAGAATTGTTAGGGTATGTTTCAGTGGAGACATGAGGGGAAGAGGTGGTTATTGCCTTCACTATACCAAAGAGACTGTTGCTGCAGCTGTTTTTGATTTACTTTTCATCATAGACGTTGCCACTCTATAAATATTGGTCAAATTAAGAAGCATTTAGCATTATATTTAGTACTTTTAAGAGAGTAAACAATTCTGCTCATGGGACCATATTTGCTGCGAAAAAGAATGAGGATTATGGAAGTTTAGGCTAAAAGAAATATAGCATGTGCATCTGTAATTTAGGAGACCTAAGATTAATAGTGGTAAGAACCACACGAAGACTGATGAGAAACAGATCCCTTCAAGGATACACATGCAGGGTTGGGGTCCTGGGGAAATCCCAATTATACATGCTGACTTCTCAAAAATAAAAGGATTTACTCTGTGCTTTCAAAGCAGTATTCCCTTGATATAACTGTGCCAGTATTCCTCACTTAAACATTGAGATTAAAAAGTAGGTTTAACTCAAGTTATTATATAACAAAAAGCTATGTTAGTTTGGATTAATTTTGACTGCATATGTATGGTGGGAAATGCCAAGTCACTGTCACTTCAATTAGATAGAAGAATATCTGTTGCTTATGTGAAGTCTAAGGGTAGGTATCAAGGTGATACAATGCATTACAGTATGAGAAATTCAGGCTCCTTCTAGCTTTCTCCTGTATTGTGAGTCATTTTAATTCCCAATATTATCTAATGTTTTCAGATAGTGCGGCTGGTCTGGCGATTGTATTCCAGCAGAAGGCAATGAGAAGGAAAGAAAGACATTCCTTGTTTCTTTAATGCTGTCTTTAGGATATTGTGTGTTGCTTACATTCTTGACTTGGTTCCCTTTGACTAGATCTCAGCCCGTGGCCACACTCAGCTGCAGAGAGATGGCAAATAAAGTTGTTTTGGGCAACCACATGCCAGCTAAATATTTGATATTCTATTACAATGAAGGAAGGGAAGAAAGGATATTGGGAGTCAACTTGTTCTCCGCAGTAATTTAAATGATTAGAACTCACAGAAACAAAGAGCACATTGGACACAATGTAGCTATGGCTACCAATAATTATTTCTGTAAATTACTAGTAATCATATTTTTTTTTCCATTGTTTAATTTCACTCACAAAATTGCCAAATCAGATGGAATAATAAATGTGGTCTATTATTTTTCATTTCCTATTTTGTTTCCTCTCTCCATAGGTATCACTACAGTTCTGACTATGACAACCCTGAGTACAATTGCCAGGAAGTCTTTACCTAAGGTTTCTTATGTGACTGCGATGGATCTCTTTGTTTCTGTTTGTTTCATTTTTGTTTTTGCAGCCTTGATGGAATATGGAACCTTGCATTATTTTACCAGCAACAAAAAAGGAAAGACTGCTACTAAAGACAGAAAGCTAAAAAATAAAGCCTCGGTATGTTAAAAAGAAAAATTTCTATTTTATAAACCTTGACTTACTTAGAGATACTCTTTTGAATATTTATGTGTTTGTTTACAGAAATAGGGACACTTGAGACCCATAACCAAAGACAAATAAAGTTAAGATGAAACTGGAGTACCTAACATCGCTCACCAAAAAAAGTGTATTTCTGTTTTTTAAATATCTCCCATTGGATCCCCTGTGTACAGAGTGGCTCATTATGGCCTGAATTTTCCCACAGTGGTAGATTCTTTGTACCTCAAACATTATTTGTGATTTACCTTTGATTCGATTTTTGTGTTAGGATTTGCATTTCTAACAAACTTACCTTACTTTTAGTGATGAAGATTCCTCTTTAATGGTAGTATCCAGCTGTTTTTAAAAGTCATGATCACAACGTTCTTTTTTTGTTTTTGTATATTTGTACTATTTTAATCTCCCATCTCAATCCAATGATTATCTTAACTTATATTACATCAAGTTTAATTTGTTATAATGGATTCTACTGATTCTAATATACTAATGTATGGGATTATTGACTATGATTATGCTTTATATTATCAATTATAGCAACATGAAAGTAATATCTAACACATGTTGAATGTTCCTGACACTCTGCAGAGCATTTTACATGCATGACTTCATGTATGCTTAGAGCAACCCTCTAAGTAGAGGTTCAATGATTTGCACAAGAACAGCCTTAGTAAGCGAAAGATCCAAGACACAGACCAGAGCTCAAGCTTGTGACCCTTCCTTTATATATCCTGTTCTCATAGGGCTTAGAAAAGTAGACATTTATTTTTCTAAAATTAACAAGAAAACATTTAATTTCAGTAAATTCTTTCAAAGATTTGTTTCAAAATATTCAAATAAGTGAGAAATGGATCAAACAGCCAGGCATTAGTGGCAAGCTTGTAAGCCTCCCTTAATATATATAATGAATTTTCCCTATTATCTAGCTTTTAAAGTTCTAGGAGTCAATGCATTTTTCCCTAATCTTTTTTCATTGGTTTCTTTATAAAACTCTGCTATACTTTTAAGTTATGTTTTACTTTCATGTTATATTCCAAGAGATAAACCTGGTGTATTTTTCTTTCAGAAACCCACAATATTCCAAGAAAGCAGAGCACATTGCTAGCAGTACAAATTTGATAATTTGCATTGTAGAATTAGCCCATGATTCCATCAACTTCACGTCATTTTGTTCATAGGATGTTTTGTCTCCCGAATGGACAAATCAGAAGTCAACTGTAATATCTATTGTTAAATTTTCAGATAAAGAAAAATGAATGCTTTCTACTATTTTCCTTTCATGAAAGCTATGCATCTTCTCTGGATTTTCCATTTTATCATTTACTCATCTACATCTATGTTGGATTATTGCCTTGAAAGTTTTATTTCTGGAAATTTTCAATGGAAATGTTTAGAATAAAAATAACTAAGATAGAGGCCAGGCAATGTACAATCTCACATCCATTCTCTAATTTAATTCTAAGAATAAATAATTTAGGTACTACTATTATATTACTGAGGGACACAACCAAAACATGGCTACTCTAGGACAGTAGATAATCTGTTTGACTGCAGATCATGTACACTCAGCCACAGTTCCAATGGCACATGTACTCAAGAGAGCTGGATTATTCTAGTGTAGACTTTAAACTTATGATGCCATTCAGTCATTCATCAACTATTTATTAAGGACTTCCATAATCTAGTAATTGCTCTAGAATAGTTATTTTTTTTAATCCATATGTTAAGTCTTTCAAATTAGCATCAAGCCCAGGTCGCAAACTACTAATTATGGAAAGCTAAAGAACAAAAATCAAATGATAATATTGAAGTACTAAATGGCAAATAGCAACAGTTAAATTGACATATTATAATTGACTACTTGAGTACCAAAAATATTTTATTTATTGCCATTCATAATGAAGTTTCATAGTCTCTTTTCTTTGTTCAATTATGTGCTTTATGAGCTCTTTAAGTCCTAAACGATATTTTGAGTGAAAAACCAGGATCAGTAATCAAATCTGACTCCTTGCATGGTTCAGTGTACAGCCATATGGTATTGCTAATCAGGTAAATCAGAATGTACTTTTAGAAGGAATAGGCAATTCTGTTTGCTGTTGTCTCAAATTCTCTATTTAAGAGCTTCTGGAATCCACATTTTCTTTGGATGCAAGATGTTGTAGCATCTTGCCATTAAGCCTGTGTTAAATATTTGTGACTTCACCCCCTCTTTCCCTGCTTTCTCTCTCTCTTCCTCTTTGTCTTTTCTTTAATATCCCCATTTCTTTATTAAAATTCAGAGTATAATGTTCCCCTTCCAGAGTCCAAGTGATCTCATTGTTCAATTCCCACCTATGAGTGAGAACATGTGGTGTTTGGTGTTCTGTTCTTGTGATAGTTTGCTGAGAATGATGGTTTCCAACTGCATCCATGTCCCTACAAAGGACATCACACACTGGGCCCTATTATGGGGAGGGGAAGAGAGGAGGGATGGCATTGGGTGTTATACCTGATGTAAATGACGAGTTCATGGGTGCTGACGAGTTGGTGGGTGCAGCACACCAACATGGCACACAAACCTGCACGTTATGCACATGTACCCTAGAACTTAAAGTGTAATAATAATAATTTTAAAAAAATGTGTACAGTCTTGTCTCTAATCCTCAAATACTGAATGTCACATATAACTGGAAAAAAAACTCTTTTAATGTAAGAAAACAAGAAAACATCAGCAATTTTACTGACCTTCTGTGATCTCATTTGAACCTTGTCTACACTTGTAGGCTTAATAATCTATTTTAATAATGCTTGTATAAATTGATTTCAAAAGTAAAAAATAAAAATAAAAATAAAAATAAAAAATAAAAAATAAAAGCTACAGTTTATGGCACACACAAAAAATAAAATTCAGAGTAGTTTAAAATCCAGCATTTTCTCTTTTTTAAAAAAAAAATTGTTTAGGGCTATAGTCAGGCTGGGATGCAATATTTTGGCTAGAGAGCTGTTGTAAGGTCAACATGTCTGTTATTAAGCAAAATTAAAATCCTTTTCCTGACATCTTGTTGACTGCTTAACGGAGAATCTCAGAATGTTCAGATTTTTTTCTTTGGAAGAGATAATACTTGAACAAAATAGATTTTTACCTTCAATGAACACCCTAAAATATAAATTGATAAACACCCTTTTAAACTTACTCTCCACATGAAATATTGAACCAGCTTGCTCTCTCTCTCTTGCTCTCTCTCTCTCATTCTTTCTTTCATTTGTCTGTTATGCTCGCTTTCTATTTTTCCTTCCTTGCCTTTCCTTTCTTCCTTCCCTTTTCTTCCCTTCTTTCCTACCTTCTTGTCTTCCTTCCTTCCTTTCTTCCTTCCTTCCTTCTCTATTCTGTTATCATATTTTTCTTCCTTCTATTTTATTGTACATGTCAATGACATTTTGGATTGTTTCATACGCCCATCCAATATATATTTTTATTACTAATTGGTAAGTATGTAATTCAGGTGTATTTGTGTCAACATTTATTTTCAAGAAAATCTAAAAAGTTAACTTAAATATGTTGAACTATGGAATCAAGACATGTTATGCAAGAGATAAAGGCCATAGAAAGGCACTAGTAATAAACCAGCCATTGCCAATTGAAGAGTAGTTTATGTTGAAACTTGAATATTCAGCCCATAGGCTATCAGAAATCTCAGAAAACCATGTTGCACCTACTTCACAGTTCTGCTATAGCGATTTGAGGAGGAACTTACTTATTTTTAGTTTCCTGATTTTATTAAGATGTGAAATTATAGAAATTTATTTCTCCAGCTAAGACACTATGGAGACAAAAAAGAGAACGTGTTCTTTGCTTTGAGGGATGATTACATCCAGTTGTGAAAAAATACATCGCAAATACAAATATAATAAGATGCAATATAAATAACAGTCCAAGATAAAAATCAAAATTAAACAAAGACTCTGTGAGGGAATTAACAATTAGATGAATAATGTCTCATACTTTTACAGAAGCAGGGTATTTTTACAACATATATATATATATATATATGATGTTTTATTATTTTTAAATAACAATATTTTTATTTTTTTATTTTTTATAAAAACATAAAATGCATTTTTAAAGGAACTGTTCTTGTGGAAACAGACAAGTATCATAAAGCCAGACCTATGTGGCCTATGCCTAGCATCCCAGGCAGTCTTCAGACTTCATGTAATATGGCCTGTGAAACACTGAACAGGCACACAGTGTTGAAAAGAATCTTGTGGAGAGGAGAGGATTCCTTTCATTTCATGTGTAAATAATTCATTCATAAAGCATGTAAGCTAATGGAAGTTTGGCAGGGAAAATTCCAGAGAAAGTATGGCTTCACTGAAGTAATTTTTTGAAGAATAGTTGCAGTTTTTAAGATAGCAAATTAGGAAGAACATTTAAGATACAGGGAACTATGTCAGCTGGGCTGAGCCTTACATGTGAGAACAAAAAAGTACACTAGTATACGTCCCAAGCTATGTTGTCCAATATAATAACCACTAACCACATATAGATAGGTTGGGTTAAAGTAATTAAAATTAAACAAAATATAATATTCGGTATCTTAGTAACGCTAGTCACATTTCAAGTGCTCAGTAGACACATGTGACTTATGGCTATCATATTGAAGAGTGTAGATGTAGAACATTGTCATCACAGAAAGTGCTATTGGGTAATCTTTGTCTTGAAAATAGGAATCTTAGGAAAGAAAATAACCTATGTTGAGGATAGAAGAGTGGTTTACGGCCAGGTACTACAAAATCTTTAAAGCCATGCTAGGAATTTACATTTTGTCTTGTTAGCACTGGCAAGTTATACACGTTTTTAAGCAGGATGGTATATTTCTATGTATGTTTTCAGAGGATAATTAGAAGTAGTATACAGTATATACTTGGATGACAAAAGAGGCAGGGAGATAAATTTGAAGACTATTGCAATTGTTCCAGAAGTAATATAATACTAAAAGCTGAAATCAAGATATTGGGATGAAAATAATGCATAGCAAGTGTTTGGTTCCACCTGGCCCTGCCCCATACCACAGTCCTCACCCACAGCTCCTTTTCAGCAGAGAAGATTTTCATTTCAGTCAGTGCATGCCTATTGAATAAACATTTGTCTACCTCTCAGAGTACTAAAATAATGAAAAGCTGTATCAATCCACAGTTTCACAACTTATAAAGACTCTTTCTTATAATAATATTTGGCAAAGCTCCCAGGAAGGATTATGTCATATTGGTGAAATGTGAAATACAGCAAGAAGGTTACTTAAACAATTGTAAAGAGTCGGTGCATAGTGGGATGTTTTCAATAGATAGAATAATCATTTAGTACCAGTTGTGACAATGGCCACATGATGCTTCCCTGAAGTGTATAGATACCACCAACAACAGCTCTTTTTTCTACCTTGGCTTCCAAAGAACACTCTTTAATATTTATATTTCTATTTAAAACATCATAGACTATTACAGCCGAAAAGGACCAGATTAATCATTGAGTAAAATTCCCATTAAAAAAAATTAATTTTAACAGTAATAGTGGAGCACGGTTGAAACTAATAAACAAATAGAACAATTCATAAATGTACAAATAAAGAAAATATTCTACCTAGAACATTTTGAACCAAATCTAAGAAGCAACTACATTGTAACCATTTCTGTTTTCACATTCTTGTGATAATTACCTTCTCAGTATTTTAACTTGCTATTAATAGTTACTGACTTGGCACGGTGGCTCACTCCTGTAATCCCAGCACTTTGGGAGGTCAAGGTGGGCAGACCACAGGGTCAGAGATTGAGTCCATCCTGGCCAACATGGTGAAACCCATCTCTACAGAAATACAAAAAATTAGTCTGGCACTTGATTAATTTTAAAACTTTAAATAATATATTTAAATCTCTACTTCTGAATTCATTATTGTGATTAATTGTAGTGCCAATTTTATTATTCTTTACAGATAAAATTTTTTCTTTTCTTACCTGAAAATTTCTTCATCGCGTTTTATACAGTGTAAAAAAAATTCTTAAGGATTCATATATTTTCTGTGTTTTGACCTCTTTCATTTCCTCATTACTTAATATTCGTATGTGTTATTTTTGAGAATGTTATCAATTCTTCATTCCAATTTAATTCTATTTTCTCCTTGGAAACTGCTGGTAGTTAGATTTTAGACTTCCTAGGTTCAGCATATATTCCAGATTTTCTTTTTATCATATCTTAAGCCATTTTTCCATACTATGAGCAGTTTTTTTCAAGATTTCATTTTAAAATTTTTAGCTTATTAAAAATTTACAATAACTTTATGAATTTCAGAGAGGTCTTATTTTCTAACTGTTTTTTGTTCATTTTTCCTTAAGTGGATGTATTACTTCCTCAAGTAGTTCTGAGTGGACTAACTAGATATATATTCTCATATTTATTAAAATATTAGAATCAGTAATTCCGGCTGTTCATTTTCACTTTTTTCCTTTGTATTGTTCACTTACCTCAAAACGTCTTCACGATTGCTCCTCAAATAGGCCCAGTAAGTTTGGTATGTAACTGTCAAGTTTGTAGCCATTGGATTTTACTTTCATACATGTGTTTGTGGGGCATGACATCTGATTCCTTCCAAATATACACATATACATTCTAAATAATAAGATGATGGCACAATACTAGGACATTCCAGTTCCAACATCAAGAGCCCTAACCTTTCTCCTGGGATAGTGGAAGGTTCTTCTCATTTTTAGAAGTTATAGAGTTTAGACTGAGTGAACGCCAACCATCGTCATCTTTATTCTCCACATGCACAGTAGGTGAGCTATAGTCAAAGGAGTGCAGCTGATCTGGAGGTGGACATTTAGCTAACACCATGTTTTCCATCCTATTCATACTCCCATTCTTCCTTCCTTATATTAAGAGTCTCTGACATTTTGATGGGAAGAGTAGATTTCACAGTCATGTTTTCATTTACTGAGCCTTTGTGAGATGTATCTTCTTTCGGTCTGCTTTATCCGTTGGCCTATTTCCGTCTGCTTTTGGTACTTCAGAAATTTATCAGGAATTCTAAATGCTGATCGGCAGCTCCTCATCACCAAGTTTCACCTCCTGGAATTTTTTTCTTTTTTTTTAAGACAAAGTTTCACTCCATCACCCAGGCTGGAATGCAGTGGTGCAATCACAGCTCACTACACCCTCATCCTCTTGAGATCAAGCCATCCTCCCACCTCAGCCTCCCAAATAGCTGGGATTGCAAATACATGCAACTACACCCAGCTAAATTTCTTTGTTTCCTCTTTTTGTAGATACAGGGTTTTGCCATGGTGCCCAGGCTGGTCTCAAACTCCTGGGTTCAAGAAATCTGCCCGCCTCAGCCTCCCAGAGTGCTGGATTACAGATGTGAGCCAATGTGCCCAGCCTTCTCCTGTTGATTTTCAATGTTAATGGTATAATCTATAATTTTTGAACATCCACTTAAACAGGATTTTGTGAAGGAGGAATAAACAGTGCTTAGTTTGGCATTTTCACGTGCAGTATTTTAAATGGGAAATTAGTAATATTATATAGTCAGTCTTTCATAATAATATAATCATCAAATAATATTTGCTATTCATATTACTAATATTTAGTAATTTTAGCAGATGGTATAATAATTAGCAGATGGCATAAGTAATTGTATGTAAATACTGATTTATTTATCACTTCGCATTTGTTTGATATTAGTATATTTTGGTGCTTTAAGATATATCCTTAATAGTGGAAATGGGATGAATTTCTCAAAATAGCAAGCTAAGCTATATTCTTAGTAATTTTTGAAATTTTTTAAAAGTATATTTTAAAAACTTATTTAAAGTAGAATATTCTATTCAATTATGTTGTTACTTTTTAAATTGCTTTAACTGATTTATTATTTTTTAGTGTTATTTTTTTATTTAAATTTAATTATCTTTAATATTTATAATTTTTTAATGTTTTTGGGGAAAGCAAGTCTATACTTGAGGAATTAAAAGATGGGTGGCATAGTTGCATTTCAGATAAATAAGACTTGGAATGTATATATTTTTCTGATTAATTTCTCAGTGTTTTAAAGGTCAGAAATCTGGGTTTCATCAATATTTTGTTTTACTGATATTGTGTTAGATTTTTGGCTATTTTTCTCAGCATTTATATGTCCATTTCTGTTTACTTTCATCATTCATTGATGTGTAGTTTATTTCAATTCGTGAACTTGAATTTTGAGGGGATGGGGGTGGAGGCGGCAAAAATCTAGAAAACTGCTAATTTAAAATGTATTTGCAATAGAACTCTCCATGACACTGCTCACCAGAGATTAGTTCTTTTTTTAAACAAACCACTTGCAGTTTTTCTTCATTTTAGTGCATTTAAAAATGTCATAATTTCTCTCATGAAAAACTAATATCCTCTGAAAAACACGATATTTCCATTTATGCTGTTTCATATATGGAATGTGTTTTCTACCACATAATCTTAAAATTGCCTCCTAACAATTTTTTAAAATTAATTTTCATTCTGATTAGCATAAGAGCCAATGCTATTCAAGTATCAAGTGACAAGGAAATAGGTACCAATTCATCTCTCCCCCCCCTTTTTTTTTACATGATTTTAGTGCTCCATTAAAACTTAGGGATGTAGTCAACTATCCCCAAGTTCCATCCACAAAAGATCTGTCATTAACATTTATAAGATACTGCCTCTGCTCTTTATAATATAGCTAAGCAAGTTTAATCATGAACTTTTTTGTGTTTAGGGCATTTCTCCTTATCCTCAAGGTGCACATTTGTCTCTAATATGAATATTGTGACCCGCATGATGTTTTAATCTTTTAAAGTATCACTAGATGTGAATATTTGCTTCCTTTTGCATCTACTGGATTTTTAATATTTGGTGACTTGGATTCTATGTTTCTTTTAGAAATAAAATGGACATGAATATAGGTTCACATTGTAAGAAATTTTAAACTTTCGTATATAAATGTAAAAATGTTTTCAGAAATATTTAATTTTGTTGACCTGACTATTTCAAAATTTAGGATGAGAGCATGTAACTCACATTTGCATGAGAAAAGATGTAAGATCCGGTTAAAACAATTTTATAAAATTGGCACTGATTTAGTGTTTAGATAGTGAAATTGCTGAATACAGTAAGTTGTAAGATTCACATCTTAAGATAACCCTCAAAATATGTTGAGTTCTGAAAAATGAAGAATTACTAAAGCTGAAATATTCATATATTACTTGCCAGCTTATTAAAGGAGTCATTAATTTTTTTCCAATAACATTTTTATGTGGTCTAGGACTTTTTTGTTGTTGCTATTATTAATGTTTGTATGTTTATCTTAGCATGAATTTCATAATTAATTGTGATATAGCTTCATCAGGAATAAACAGTAACAACTACAACAGTAATGTTACCTACTGGCAGGTGATTACTTGCTATGTTTCAAGTATTTTACTTAGTGTTTTATGTCCATCATCCAATTTAACAATCAAGCAAACCTACAATATTTTTAATGCCACTTTTGTACAGAAGAAAACATAGAAGTCAAAGAATAATACTTTCACTCTTTAATTATTTAAGTATTATTCAAAATCAAGTATTATAAAAATTTAACATGTTCCAAATAAAGCTGTTAATAATAGTAACTGTTATTACTGAGCATGATGAAGCATTGATCATTTTACATAAGCCATGAAATTTGCTTATCATAACTGTCACAGAAATTAGGTGCAAATATAATTCCAGCTGTGAAGACAGCTACATTGTAGAATGAGCAGAATTTGAACTCCAATTGTTCCCAAGTCTGAGCTTTTAATTACTACACATCCCTCTTTCCCAAATATGGTGCCTTGTGCTTACCCATCACAAACCCCATAACTTTTTTTGGTCCATTCATATCTTCACAAAACTTTTGCATTATCAAAATGTTTTCTTTGCTACTTATTCTCATTTTTATTCAAGAAAACAAATAATATATAATAGCAAAAAAAAGACGTGTATAGCAGTGTTAATGTTTTAATGTAAACTAGAATATACGGTTCATTTTTATTTTAGAATCAGATCCAAGGTAAATGATATGTTGGTGGGTCAACTTTCTAAAGGTATAAAAATATATTTTATTTTTCAGAGGTGTTTCATTTCTGCATACTAGAATGTAGCAAATGTTCTGTTACAAAGCAAATTATAATATAAAACTTGTTATAATTGAAAATACTGGATTTTTTGAAATCAAGATTATTTTCATTACCTATCAGTCTCCCAGAGTTTGTGTTAAGGGAGCAAATTGATCTTTCCTTATGCTACTTTTTTGGTGTCAAACATTCATTTATTATTTTGACCAGATGACTCCCGGTCTCCATCCTGGATCCACTCTGATTCCAATGAATAGTGTTTCTGTGCCACAAGAAGAAGATTATGGGTATCAGTGTTTGGAGGGCAAAGATTGTGCCAGCTTCTTCTGTTGCTTTGAAGACTGCAGAACAGGATCTTGGAGGGAAGGAAGGATACATATACGCATTGCCAAAATTGACTCTTATTCTAGAATATTTTCCCAACAGCTTTTGCCTTGTTCAACTTGGTTTATTGGGTTGGCTATCTTTACTTATAAAATCTACTTCATAAGCAAAAGTCAAAAGAAGTTTGACTAAATTCAATAGAATCTTTTGTCCTTCAGTAACTTGAAGTTTAAATTTAAAATGCAGAGAAAACAATGGTTAAAATGTGAGTAGTATTGTAACTATGTTAAGGCCTTCAGAAGTAAATAAAGTAGCAGGTTTCAGGCTAATTTACATGAAACTGATTAGTTGCAAAATGCAGTAGATTAAAATACTCACCTATTTTTATTTAAATTTTCTTTAATTTACTTCTATGTTGTTATAATTTTGAATGTTTAAGTTCTATGATTCATGTTTTAAAGATGGAATTATTTTAATACATATTTTGTTTAAATATAAACTATAATTGTTTTGTAATGTGAGACTAATGACTAATATTTATGTAGCAACTTTTTTGCCAGAAAAAAGATTGTTAATTTGTTTTTTCTTGCTTTTCCTTTGCTTGCCCTGCCTGAAATACAGTTAGTTGATAACATAAAGCCATAGTTTTCTTGGATTTGCTTCCAAGATATTGTATTCCCAAGAAGAAATTGATTTATTTTTAACCTATCAATTACAGAAGACTTATGAAAAGGTCAACTTTTACCTGTCTTTTAGTCCAGTCCATTTTCTGGCACAATATTAAACAGAACTCCAGTTACATTTACTTTGGTGATTTGCAAACTTGGAAAGAAGCCACCAGTCATTTTTTAAGAATGTAAGATGGAAAAAATCAGGTAAAATCTAACCATTTTATTCTCTGCTTCATAGCATTTATAATGTATAATGAGGTTAACAATGAAATATTAAAATCTGCAAATGCAAATTAATGCAAATTAAATGCAGAGAGAAATTTTCTTTTCTTTATGTTTTATGAAAGTGTTGCAGTCCCTAAAATAAAAATATTGAGGAACGGTGCTTGTATTTACTCATGTGGTTAAAAAATTATTACCTGGAAAACTGAATTGCAGGTCATATTGAGGACAAAATCTTAAATATGTGCTATTAGCATTGTTTTTAGACTAGTAATATTCAGAAAACAGTTTTTGGCCTGCATTACATATTGCTTCTTCCAGCTCCAAAGTTTTGGACCCTGTCAGTTTTGCAACTACATTATACATTATTATAATATTATTTTTTTCTAGAAACTGGGGGCAGCCTCAAAATCATCTTAAAGAGGGAGTTTTGTTAGAGGCATCTTTATGAACATGAGTGTGAGATCTCTCTAAATTCTTAGCGTCTCACTGGATGTAAAATCTATCAGTTAATAGTTTTAAAAATGCCTCTTTTTTTAAACAGAGAGTTAAATTTAGGCTTCAATCATTATAATCCTGTAAGTAGCTTGACATATCAATTGTTTATAAGATTCATCACATAAATTTCTGGAGAACAAACAGGTTTTGCCTGGAAATAACCTTTAAATGTTGTTTCTGTTGCCAAGACCAATGATCATGATGAAGAGTTTTATGATCACAGCCTATCTTACTTAAGGTTTGAGAGGGAACCTGTCACCTCTGCAATTGTCACTCTAGTTTTTAATGTTATAATTCTGCTACATGGTTAGTGAATGTCTGGCATGATTATACACATGTATTGGAAATATATAGTTTTTAAATTATTTATTTATTTATTTATAGTTTACTGTGTGTTCCAAGCTAACTCTAATTTTTTTCACTTGCTCATAAACTTCTGAAAAAAAAAAAAAGCATGAATCAAATGGTAATGCCCAATATCCACTGACCCTGCTTTTTCTTGAATGAACAGCCAAATTAAACTTTGGCCATGTATATATTCATTTACAGATTATCCATACATTCATTTTAATAACATTGAGTACTGATGGATGTTTTTAAAGTGAGCATTCATTTAAGGATAAATAAAAAATAAAGTACTCATAAAGAATAAAGTACTTTACTAAAATATTGTGTGGCTATTTTCATGTTTGAAGCTATAGCTTACTAATTATCATGAGACAGTTTTGATTTTGGGACTCTTTCAAGTGTATCTGAGCATGACTATATTTTAAAATACTTAAAAGTGCTTGATATAAATAGTTTTGCCTTCAGAACCGCAACTCTATGTAATATAAAAAAAATAGCTTTGATTTTCTCATTGGTGTTTCATTAACTTGGTTTTAAATGTTGATAATATTTACAAGTGGAAATAAAATTTGTAAAGATGCCTTTCCTTGTATATACCATCAAGAAAGCACTTTGTTTTCAAAGCAAGTGGTACTTTGATCTGTTTCATTTAAATGTGTGATCAGAAAGAATGGTGTACAAATGTTATTATTTCTAAAAATAAGAATAAAAAGGTAAAACTACATTTAGACTTCTTTTTCAAGAGATCAAATACAGCTTTTTTTTTTTTTCAAAGCTGATTCAGTTCATTTCCTGTTCCTCTCTTCCAAGTATAAGTTTCACCACCTTGAGAAATAATTTTTAAAAAATCTTCCTCTTTTCTCTGGGGAGTTATATAATAATTTCTTGAATTAATTGGAACTTGAATTTCCTGGATGCTTTAAATGTTTTTACTTTTAGACCCCAAAAGTAGATATAAAGAAATGGGAATGATACCTGGAGCACAAGAAATAGGATCATTTGTAAAATTGTTTGTTCATATAAACCTAACCTCTAAATATGTGACCAGGATCTAGAAATTCTGAGAGGGGAAAATGTGATTGGCATAGTTTGATTCTTTTGGATTTATGATGACAGGGTAACATTTTATTCATCTTTGAATTCCACGGACAAAATTAGGCTTATTTTAAATTAATTTTTGTAAACCCAAGTAAGTTCTAAAAAAAGTAAAAAGTACATAAAATACTTGAGAATTTAGCAGGGTCAGGGAAAAATTTCCCGGTAAGTCTAAAGTTTTGATATAAGTGAGAATTAGACAATTCATTGGAGGCATTTTAAGTTAAAGACATATTTCATTAATAAGTTTTTAAAATTGATCAACTTTAAATTAAAGCACAATAAATGTGTATAAATATGAAGGCAATCATAAGGATTTTTTTGTTTGTGTTTCTATATTCTGGCATTACTATATCATCATAAAATAGACAACGTTTGTGTCTCAAGAACAAGAATAAAATTGAAATCTGCATTCATGCCAATTCAGCATCAAAAATAATGGGCTACAGTTCTCTCACACCAAGGGCCCCATAGTTATAAATGTGAAATTATGTTCCAGGTTAAAATTTGTGAAAAATAAACAAAATACTTTGATTTTACAAGAGAGGAGCTTTAAATAAGATGATTTTAGTAGATTGAAATAAACAACCAGTATTTAAGTAAATGTATAACAAAATGAATAAGTACATGCATAATATTTTCAAAGTTCTATACCAGTGCCTATTTTTACTCTTGCAAAATTTCCTATAGCAAAATACTACATTTGAAATTATTTCGCTGGTTTTAGCACTGGGATTTAAGTTACCCAGTAGACTCTTAAGGCTTTACTGTTTGTCTCATTAGAAACATTTATTTCTGACCTACCTAGTTTTCTTCACATCATCAAATTTATTCAGCTTCTCCGTGCTATACCGTATGATGGCCAGACATACTTGGTATTGCCATTTCTGTTGGACATTCTATATTGCTTTTTACTGCTAGGGAGATCTTGCCAGGCTTCTATACAGTTATAAAAACCATAACCAAATCTTTATCAAGGACTTTCCAAATGGAGTTTTCAAACACTATTGACCACATTGCTCTAGCTAATGTAAGGTCAGCTCTGACTTTTTGTGTTTGCATTTCGGAAGTGAGGTAACCTCATTCAAATATTTATACAGCATTTTCTGTGTACAAAGTACTGTTCTAAATACAAAAGGGAATATAAAGATGAACTTTCAAGGAACATATAATGTAGTCAGAAAGATGAGAGGATTAGTTGTACAATTTAAGGAAGGGAGGATAACTCTGGGAAGGTTTTGTGGAAGATATGTGTTCAGAGATGGGAGTTGGAGATTTAATTAATAGGCGAGAGGGACAGAGATCACAATTTCCAGTTGGGTAAACAGCTTGAAAAAAGAAACAGAAGCATGGGCACAAATGAAAATCCTATTGTAATTGGAAGTTAAGATTCATTTAAAGACAATGAAAGGTTAGGTTAGAACAGTAAACTGAGAAGTACAAATGTGGACTTCAGAAGACTAGGGGAAATTATAAAGTCATAAAAAGTTCACAGAGATACTTGAGTACAAAAGAGACAGTATTAAAATTTCTGCAGAAGTTTCATCTTATTTGTGTGTGATCATTTGGAATATAACAAGCCAGTTAAAAATATAGGCTTATAGTGGCTAATATGAGGATGAAATCAGTACTCTCATGACAGAAGTCTTCAGAGGAGACGGGGGAAGATAGCCCCAAATAGAAAGAAAAGTGGCAGATATTAAGCTTTGACTAATAGACAATATAACTGAGAGACATGGTGTATTGGGTGGAAGGGATCCAGTAGTAGACACTTGTTGGCATGGAGATGGGCACAAAGACACCACAAGGAAATTCTGGATGCCATACAATCTTGTTTCGTGTTCCATTTTGATCAAAGGCTTATTTTTCCTATTGATTTATCTTTTCCACACAAAAAAGATGAAGAAGAATAATCTGAAATGTAAATAATAAGTGATCTGTCTAGATTCTTATTTTTTAAAAATGTTCCTCACTAAAACGGTTTTCTATTCAAATAACGTTTTCCAGTTTTCTAACTGAGAAATATATATATATATATATATATATATAGACAAAGAGAACAAGATAATTGCGGGTAGAAATAGTCTACTGTGTGTAGACAAATCCAGAAAGTTGATTTCTCATCCTCAAACAATTTCTGAAATATTTCTGTCAGAATAAATAAAAGAATTGTTGTTGTTTGACAATAAAACATACCTGGACCCTTTGAGTGTGTGAATAGTAAAGGCTGTGATAACTGAAATGCAGTTAAGCAAAAAGGGCTAATTAGTGGACTTTTAAGACATGATTTGCCTAAATGGAAATAGTTTGGTTTTCAATCCTTCACTGTAATAACACTTATTTGCATCCATTAAGTGCGTGTAGTCACTTCGTATAATAAAGTTTTATGGCTTGTGATTATAATGGCTTCTGTTATTCTGCTACTGCATCATTGTTTTGAGGAACATTTGTAATTTTGTGGCAAAGGTGTCTCAATTTTTCAGTGTTCTTTACTCTCATGATCCATAGTACAAAAACATAACAGTAACTTGTTATAAATAAAGAGTCACATTCTCTTAAATTGTGTCTTTCTTGGTAGCTTTCATACAGATATATCCCTTCACTGTTTCAGAGTATGTGATCATAGCTTTCGCATTGAAGTTCATTTCTGATCCATGTAATTTCACATTTGTTTTTCAATTAAGAGCCTTAAAAAGTTTCTTCTTGACTGAGACTTTTGAAAAGGAATTTAACTTGAAAATCTGAGGTAAAGATAATTGAAGCTTATGCATGATTTTCACTGCTCTATGAATGGATTATTCTAGCTATTTGTGATTTTACCCTGATTTGAACGACCAGGTATTCTTCAGTAGGTGTGTCAGTGAGAGCAATATATGTTAGTTAGGATGAATATCTAGATCATTCCAACTATCCCATGTTATAAAAAACTCTATTCCACTTGAAGGAACAGTTACTGAAAGAAAATTAAAAGTCAGAAAATCAAGAGATAAGATATTTTCTGCTTCATCCTCCTAGTTCTCCCTTCCCTGTTGCCACAGTACAATATTTTTTAGAAGTTTGTGATTCTTCTCTCAGGTCCAAAATAACAGATATGCTATTTTCATAACACTGAAGAAGGCAGGGGATGACTGTTGTTTCTGCAGTACCTGCTGTACGTCTGGAACTACAAATGCATTATATATTAATAACTTAGTTTTCAAAGCAGAGAACACTATTTAACAGGTGAAAAGACCAAGACTCAGTATAGTGGACACATTCTCCAAGCTCATATACCTGTAACCTAAAATTAGATTTAGGTACCTGTAGCCGTAAAGACCTTCTCTTTCATTTACATGGAAGGACTCTGATGGTAGAGTGACTGCACTTATTCCAACACTAGAACATCTTTCCTTCACAAAAGAGAAGCAAAGACCTGAAAAACAGACCACTCTATTTGCCTAAAGCATAAAACACTATATTATTCAGTAACAGCATAGTAGCATGCTCTTTTCATCCTTTATTTCTAAAGTGGATTTCATTTCAGCTGAAACATTTTCAACATATACTAGATCTGTTCTTAAAAATTACTCCTGATATTCACTCAAAATATAGAGAACTCACTTTTAAAGAAAGATATTGGCAAACTATGGCCATAGCAGTGACTAATGGGACACAATCACCTTGTTCATTCACTATTGTCTATGGCTGCTTTTTTGTTATCGCAACAGAGCTGAGTAGTTTCAACAGAAATTAAATGGCCCATAAAGTCTAAATATTTACACATTGTCACTTTGAAGAAAAAAGTTTGCCAACTATTGTTTTAGAAAAATTTTACTATACTAATTAACAAGCACCACGTATTTAAAGTACATTTTTAATATTTTTAATTTTTAACTTTAAAAGAAAAAGATCATCGTTGAAGGTGTGAAGTAATGCAATTAAAAATCCACTGTACTCTTAACTTCTCTCAAAGAGACATTAATTAAAGCTATGCCCTCTTTTTTAAGACCTGTAAAAATTATTATAAATC